ATGTGTTTTGATTCATCGTAATAGAGATGATAGCTTGTTTGAGCATTGACTATGATTGTATTTGTAGAAAAAAGAAAGAAATGCAACCCTACAACAATGGGAGAGTGGCTCAAGCTTGGCAGATAAAGCAAGTCAAATTTATTATTATTATTTTTTAATGTTAATTCACCTCCCCAAGGCTAAAAACACTACTACAGACAAGGAGGCTACTTACTTGTGATTATAACCCTTTCTCGACTATATAACTCTGAAACACGAACCTTGACAACCAAGGTTTGTGACAACCTTAACAATCACTAAAAGCTTTATTCATACATATTATGAACATAAACATATGTGTTTGCTATTTATTTAGATCTCTACATAATGTTTGAAAATTAAATATTGATGGTTTATTTTTTGTAACTTGCTTTTTACCTAATCATAGATACTGTGTTGTGTGTCCTAACCACAGATATTGTGTTGTGTGTCCTAACCGCAGATATTGTGTTGCATATACAAATTATCTATGGTTAAAGTAAAATGCTAGTTACAAAATTATATTTGTGTAAAAAATATTGGGTATTTAAGCATTTGTTTACACCCACTCACTTTGAATTCTATGTGATATGAAAATGATGAAAAGTTCCCAATTTATCAAGATTGTCAAACGAATAATTTTTTATATTGTGTTTATATGTCAAAAAATATTATTTCAATAAAACAACATTTATGCAAAAGGTTTGCAAATCATAAAAAAATTTGCTGTTTAATCATGGCAGTTGATATCATCAAGAACAAAAAAAAAGAGTGGATCAATGCTTCTGAATATATATGTTTATATATTTAATATGCAGGAATATGCATCTTGGAAAAGATATGCTTGCATTGAAGTTATCAATGCCATGAGATCTTAAATATGGCTTGTTTATTTGTGTATCTTGGAAAACATATAGAACTTTATACCATTGCAATATAGGTGAATGATTAGAATGTAGCTGATCTGGTTACAAGAAAAAAAGCAAGGTTAAAGGATAAAGACTTATGGCTTGAAAAATTGTTTGATAAACTGTAACTGTAATTGCAAAATTTTTACTTATCAAAAGAAAAACTGTTAATTAAAATGCAACAATGAAACCTTTATGTGTGAAATGGAAATTTGCTTACAAGTTCAGCAATTTTATGTTAAGCTTTTATGTTAACTTTTTTATTTTTGATTATTTAAATTAGTTTTTTATATGAGTGACTTTTATTCAAAAAATGTAAAAGTTATTTCAAAGGAATGTAAAACAGTAAAATACTAAAGAAGAATCTTTTTTTTTATCATCTGCATAATTTATTAATAATTTATTTCATAAAATATGTCTTTCCATCATAAAAAAAAGAGTGATTTTATTAAAGATAATTCTTTTCACAAACGTATTTAAAATTTTTTGTTTCTAATTATGTTAACTAATTCAATATTATGTTTTTTTTATATAAGCATTGGCTCACTTTTTTGCTTATCTTAATCTATACAACATTGTTAGAAAAAGTCGATGTATGTACTGAAGCCCGCGGCAGCAGGTTATTTCAGTATGATGTCAGACTGCTCACCTAAATCAGCAGTATAAGATATAATATATATATACAAATATATATATATATATATATATATATATATATATATATATATATATATATATATATACATATTTATATTAGAATATATTCTATATAAATATTCTTACTGTGCCATACTGTATTCTTGGTTAAGTATACAGTAAAGTTGGAAATATTATTATAATTCTTTTGTCCTCTGACATTCTATTTAAGTTCAGTATTACTAATTTCTTTTACTTTAAACCTTTTTAAAACATCTTGTCTTATTATGTAAAGCTAATGAAAACAAACTGATATTTTACGATGATTATGTACAATGAAACGATGTTTACTAAAATAATGTATTATGTTTATTGAAATGAATTATTATGTATGCTGAAATGACATATTACATACGTTGAAATAATGTATAATGCAACATACTGCATGCATAATGCATACATTATACATGCAAAATTTCATATGACAATTTAGACAAGAAATCATATTACTGTTTCATTTAAAAACATTTAAATAATATATCTTCTTTGGTTTTATTTATCAAAACTAATTTTTTTTTAAATATAAAAATATATATTTCTTACTGCAAACTTTAGGATCTTCATCAGAAGCATCACCACAATCCACAACTTTGTCACACTTTTTATGTTGAGGGTAGCAATTGCCGTCGTTTATAGTGCAGTTAAAACTAAAAGGTGCAGGGTAGCAAGTGTCAACTGCTAAAATAGGAATTAATCAGCATAAATTATAAGGTAATATCTATCTACTACTGCATATTTAGGTTAATGCATATTTTTAGTCAAATAAAGTTGGCACATATATATATGTGCATGGCACATAGAATATGTCCTGTAAATTGAATATAGAATATATGCTGTAAGTTAAGTGTAAGTTAACACATATATAGAATATGTGCTGACATTAGCAGCACATATATACTATGTATCGCTAATGTATAGTGTACACAGTTGTAAAAAAAGAATTTTAAAAAAACTATTTTTTCAAAATTGTAATAGATATTAATAAATAGCTTATAAAAGATAAATTAGATAAAAGATAATTATCTTCAAATTTTCTAAACTATAAATTAAAAAATAAGAAATAAATTGTTTATATAAACAATATTGGTATATTCCACAGAAGAAAATGCAAAAGAGGTCAATTTGAATTTTTTAAATAATTTCAAACAAAAGAGTAATGATAGAGATGAAAGTTTATCAAAAATATATTTTTAACAACAAAGTTACTTTATTTTGCATAAACTGAATTATTTTAACCTAAAGGTGACATCTTTAATTTCTTCTTCCTTTTCAATTTAGCATTGGTCAGATTTTACATTTTTTTTTTTAAGAAAAATTTCAACAAAATAGAAAAGAACTTTTGTTATTTTCATGGAACATTAGTTAAACAAGACATAAAAACAAGACAAATATTTTATTTAAAAAGCAAAGTATATTTTATTAACATATGAGCTAGCATATATTAAATATTTTTAAGGAATTAAGATGGTTAGTTAAAGCACATTTTCACTTTGAATGTGTAACATAACTTAAAGCTATGTGAATGTACCTAAAACTTCTTTTTCTAAAGATTTTACTGTTTACAAGATGCCAATGCACAACTCCTGACATTTATACACTTATAAGAGTAACTTTTTAAATGTAAGTTAAAGGTATAGAATCAAGATAACATGTTTATGTTCCTAAATAAGTCACTTCTGATGAAATTTTCATTTTACTAACAAGTATTGAATGGTAACAAGTATTGAGTGGTAACAAGTATTGAATGCACAGCATTCTGTTAAAATGTTCAATTCAATTTCACAAACTTTTAATAAATAGAAAGTCATTCTAAAATTTGTTATTCATTTAGTTTTTCTGTATAATTTAAATTTTCAGTCTTTCATAACAAAATATCTAAAAAAAAAAAAAAAAAAAACTTTCATAACAAAATATCTAAAAATTTAATAAAAATTTTAAATAGGAGATTTTTTTTTGTTGCAAAGAAAGGTTGTTGCAATTAAATAGTATGCTAAGTGTGGAATAAGCTGTGGACACGTACTTATTTATAAGCAATTCATATTTAATTTAAAGTCAATATTATTAATAAAACATTGTAATTGTTTTGGACAAGATTCAACAAATTGATAGAATTGCATTTTATCATTTTCACATTTTGTCTTTGATGACACATTGAGATTTTTCATAAATTAGTCTGTAGCTATAGAGATTCTAATGACAGATGCCAATGGCAACCAATCATTGCAAGGAGGACTGGCAACCAATAGTGCAGTAAACCTAGCATTCAAATATAAGACAGTAATTGTGAAGCAACATATTATGAAGACTTTTTAAATGCTGTGAGGTTAAATTAGGATCATCCAGAAAACATTCAGATATTGAAATAACGTTGGACACCCACTGGTGCAACTGGTGCCATAAACTTAGTTATACATGCTGTTGTGTTTTCTATTTTTTGTTATTGAACTATTTGTTTTATATATGTGTCTATTTTCTTGTATCTTTAGATTAGTACAATTATTGTTAAATAAAGCCTTAATCAAGAGGTCAATCTTTTTATTAGTTCATTACACAGAATCAAGTAAACCTCTGACAACTCAAAGGGGTCACAATAATTGTCTTAAACTGACTCACAGAGCAACTGATTTTGAGTAAATTTTCAGCTTCACTGCGTCAGAAGTTTCTGTTTGACCCAGTTCTGAGCTGGTCATACTTTTTATATTTATTTTTACTGATTGCTTTTACTGATTTTTACATGCTTTTTAAAAAAGTTATTATAGTCAGAAGTTTTCTCTAAAACATATTTAGAGTTTCCTCTAATAACTTTTTTGAAAAACTGAAAGAATGAGAAATGAAACTGAAAAAAACTAAAACAATGAAAGAACATTAGAACAAGTCCTCTTTGGATCAGAAAAAGTTCTGACCAGAACTGGGTGAAACTCCTGACGCAGTGAAATTTAGGTGTCAGGCGAAAACCTGACACCTAAATTTTCACTGTCTCACCAAACTTATCTCATCTTCAACAACTAGCAGGCACTTAAGCGCGTAACTGTTATTAAAAAACAATCCACATGATCTTTTCCACAAAGAATTAACTTATCATCTCAATACAATTTTATTAGTATACCATTTGACAAAATTGCATTTCAAAGCTGCAACTTCTAATTCACACTTAGTGTTGTTACCAAGGTCAAAGTTATGTCCCAAACTTTACGCAGCTTCAGCAAAAATAAATGTTTTAGCAAAGATGTCCTTTTTACAAACAAACTATTATTTTTTTGATACAATACTTATAAAATTATTATACAACAATCATCATTATGCTTACGTGCTAAATTATACATTATGCTAAACTCATCTCTGATGTTATCTTTTTTGTACATCAATGACTTTATCTCCCTCCCCCACCTCATGCCTTAAACATCTACAACTTATACTTAAATAAACAATGATTTTTTTAATTAATGTCCTAGTTGATAACTGTTGGTTCTTTTCTTGTTTTCTTCTAACATTTTTCAGTTCAATGGTTTTTGCCTTCCATTCTTCCTTTGTTGCCAGTCCTTTGTTAATTAAGCCCATGTATCCTCATTGACCTAATTGAAGCTGTGTTGCAAGAAACTCAAGAAATTTCAGAATGTTAATCATATTGACAGCAATATAACAGCAAAATATAATGACTTGAAGTAACACAATGTCAACATGTTAAGAACATAAATCATTCAGAACATATTTTATAAATCCAATAAATTGTTTGAGTAAATTATCCGGAATTTATTTTCCCTTATTTTCTTCTTGACTTTTAGCTGAGTTTTTTTCTTGCTTTTAGCTGAGTTGTTTATAATTTTTTTTCAAACTTGTCTTAGTTTTTGTATGAGTGATGTGTGAAAAAGCTTAAAAAAGATTATTACAAAAAGATATATCTAAACTTGTATGCTTGGAAAACATTTTGGATATTCAGAAAAACAATAAGTTTAAAAAAATATCAGGAATTCCAGAAATACCTGGAAAAAAATAGTCCCTGCAAGAAGCATAACAAACATTAAAAATGGTAATTTTTTTTACTGGTATTTATTGCGTTATTCAACAATTACCTCATCAAACATACATATTTAATGTGCATGTCAAGAAAGTTTCTCATCAGAGTAGCTTTTTTGCACAAGCTATTGCTTTTTGCACAAACAGTTGTTGTAAATTTTTTTTTTTATATATTGCAGACAATATTTTAAAACAATAAATTTATTTAAAATTTATACAACAAATTCAAATAAATTTATTTAATAATAAAAATTATAAATGTTTATTATACATTTGTTGTTTCAGTTACTTTAAAAAGTTACCATAACATAATGTATTAATAAATATTAACATAAAATATTACCAAAATATTACATAAAATATTACCAAAAATATTTTTGTCATAAAGTATATTAAGTAAAGTCTCAAAAGAATTAAAATTTTGTGGAGATTTCATAAATGCACTTTTAATATAAGAGCTGTGTGGGCAAGCATATATTTTGTTGAAATAAAATTTTAACAAGACATGTTCTCTGGCAAACTTAAGATCCTTAGCGGCATTAATCTTTGAAATAAATTGTCTTTTCCTAACCACACAGTCACATTACTTAGCTTTATTTAATCTGGATTTGATGTAGGTAACACCAATTAGTTAATACTAATTGTCATTTTTTTCAGCCACTTCAAGGTAAAGATTCCATTGAATAAAATTAAGGTAAAAAATCTGGTGTTAGAAATTTATTTTAAAATTTTATTCACACTTTCTCTTTCTCAATATTCATATTCTTGCAAAAATTCGGGTTTAAACATTCGTTTTCTCTTTATATATTCTTAAATCAGGTAAATGAGTTGACTACATAGAGACTACATTGAGTCAACTCAAACACATGTTTAAACGGAAGTTCATTTAAATGGTGTTAACAATTGAGCCACTGGATTTGTTCTGTTTCTATTAGTTTTATCACTCCTTCAAACTTACCAGTGTTTACTACTGTTGTATCACATAAGAGAGCATTTATTTTGACATATTTAACTTGATTGTTATCAAATTTTTTAATATTCTGAAAAAATTTGGAATTATTTAAAAAGAAAAGATTCGGCTAACATGATTCGAAAAGTTTTCTCATAAATTATTCGTCACTCGTGAGGTGTTCAAACTTTCGGCATTTTTGGAATAAGTATCAGGTTATAATATATATTCTAATTTTAAAAAATCCGATGGAATTAATTTTAAAATGTATAATAACCAAATATTATCACAAATATAGACATAGATTAATTTAAAACTACAATTCTAAAAATTAAATAAAACCTATTTATATCAACTTACTTTCCAACTCTCTTTCTGTAAAAAGTTTGATAAATAAAAAAATAATAAATAACCTTCCTATTTCAAATTACAGTATAACTAACTAAAATGTTTTGAGTTTTGATGAATTGCATCATTCATAATGACTCAACATGTTTACACTACATATGTGCACTACGGATTACGTACGGATAAGCCCATAGTAAGAGAACTTTCATGAATTTATAAATTACTTCCATAAATAGTTCCATAAATACATAAAAAAATTATTCTAACTTTCTCCTTCCTACATTTTCTACAAATATATAAACATTTTTAATATATAAACTACATAAAAACGACTTACAAGTATCTTTGCAAACACTCTTAGCTTCATCTTCTCCAGAAGAACAATCTATTTTTTTATCACAAACTTTATTTTGTGGAATGCATTCGCCAGAATTGCATTTGTAACCAGAACAAGCTACAAAAATAAATTTACTTCATAGACTAAAAAATCAGCTTCATTTGTCCTTATTTACAAATATTATAAATATTTATAAATATTGTTTTAAATATTTTATGAAAAAAGTATTTTTTATAAATCTTTCTATTATCATCTTACGAGCCGAAGTTGTCATCCATGTTTTGCAATTAAATTCATCAGAACCATCTTTGCAATCATACATTCCGTCACATCTTGTATTTTTTTCATAACACGCAGAACGGTCAGCACAATAAGCATATCCAACTTCACATTTAAGTGGTACTATTGGTGGCTGCCAGGTACTAATTGCTAAAGTAAAATCATATATCATTGGTGTATATCACATATATAATATACCATTAGTGAAAAATCATTACCACATATCTTGTTTTAAATAAAAAATGCTTAATGCATTAGCTTAATGCGATATTTGATAAAATTCATAAAATTCTCTTTATTTTTTAATTTTTAAAGACATTAACTTTTTTAAATTACTGCGATAATATTAATTACCGCAAAACCAGTTAAACATTATTTAATTTCTTATTATTTATTACTTTAAGGTAATTTTTATTTTCTTTAATTTTTTTTAAATAATAAATAATCAAATTTAATATTACATATTTAAAAATGTTTCCTATTAACAAATTTCTTTTTTTTCTCGACATTTGCATAAATGAATTAAAATATGATTATTTCTTAAATTTCTAATTGTGGCTTTGCAACTACAAATGATTTTTTATTTAAAAAAAATTAGCGAGTAACAAAAATTTACTATTTACTATTTTATTATTAAAATTTACTATTACTATAAATTTACTATTTTATTATTAAAATTTTATTATTAAAATTTACTTATTACTATAAATTTACTATTTTATTATTAAAATTTTATCGCTGTATATATCATTTATTAAAAAATAACCACTGCTATTTAACTTGTGTTATAAAAAAAATAGTTCAACAAACATTTTGTGCAAATTTTTGATGCAGCCGTTTATTTAAAATTAAATTTTGAGTAAAAAAAAAAAGTTTAAAGAAAGAAAGCCAAAAAAACAATTGTGATAAAAATAAACTGTTTTTTTCTAAAAACAAATAAAATTTAAATACTGAACAATATTTAGTGATACTTTTAAATAGATTTGACAGTTAAATTAAACCCAAGCATTAACTTTAATTTTAATAAACTTAAATTTATTTTTTAAATCAAAATTAAATTATATATTTTTATTAATTTATTTTTAAATTACATCATATATCTTTTATCAGAAATCAATTATGTTTTTATAATCTTTGCTTCAAGCTTAAAAAGTCGATGATTACAATAAAACAAAAAACAAAATAAAAATAAACTTTTAATTTTATTTGAGTTTTTTTCATTAGTAAAAAGCGCTTATATCAAACTTTTGTAACAAATATTTTTACATAAACGCCATTCAAAAGTTAATGTGACTTTTTTTAAAATTAATACTTCATTTATCTTACCGCTTATAAAAAAAAGATAAAAAGTTGCTTAACCGAAATGGCTTACTGCTGTACTGATGTAAAATTGCTTAAGACGCATATAAATCGTTCTACGCTCAACAATTTAAAAAAAGACCTGATGTATCTCAAAAAGTTGAGGTTGCAGAGGCAAAAATCTAAACTGATGACTGTTAAGACACAATTACAAAAATTTAAAGTTTGAAAAAAACTCTGCATTTTTATTTTTACTTGTCTTTAATTAAAACTTAAATATTTAATTAAACTAAATTAAATTAAACATTGAGATATAATGACTTCCAGCAATTAATTTGCAAGTTTTGTGTCATGCGACAAAAAAATGATCTTTGATTTCCAGATTTTAACAGAAGATGCACATCGTAAACTACAATTCAAAAGGTTTGAAACCTCAAAATTGCATTTTTTGAGATAGATCCCATCTTGAGTCAAATAACTTGTCTTCAGAAAAATCAATACGGTTTCTGATTCTTTCACTGCTGACACATCAAACTCTACTGCTACTGCTGAGAGAGCTATTGCTCTTGACATATCTAAAGCTTTCAACATAGGTTGACATACTGGTCTTCTTTATAAGCTTGTCTCATATGGTGTATCTGGGTGAATTTTTGAGATTATCAAATCATTTCTTTCTAAATACTTTACTAAAGTCATCATTGAAGGTCAACACTCTTCTTAATTTCCAGTAACTTCTGGGGTACCTTAAGGTTCCATTCTAAGTCCGGTTTTGTTTCTTATTTAGATTAATGATCTTCCCAACAACCTTACATCTAAAGTAGCCTTTTTTGCTACTTTAGATGTAAGGTTTGCAAAAATCAGTTATTTACTGCAAACAATTATTGCAATACTGTCAACATTCCCATATTAATGAATGGCAACCCTCTGAGTCCTTTTCTTTACGTCTTCTTGGATTATTGTTTACTACTGACTTTTCATGAAACCATATATACAATCGATTACTAAATTAGCATCCGCTTAGGTTGCTAATTTAGCAATCTCTCTAGAAATCTCTTATTTGTCCCTGCATGGACAAATAAGAGATATGGACTGTTATCAAATTTAGATTTTTCTTCTTCTTCGGTTCTTCTAATAACACTCTTACTCTTCTAGAACAAAAACACATTTTCCAAAAACACATTTTAAACTTAATTGGACACGCTCTATCTGCTATGCTTGAGCCGCTTTCCCATCTTCATAAAGTTGCATCTCTTTCTCTTTTTTACAATTACAATTTTTACAATTTTTCTACTACTAATACTAGTTGCTGCTCAAAGGAGCTATTAACTCTAGTTCTATCAACTAAAACTCATTCAACACTTGACTCATCATTTAGCAAAGTCTCATTCATTTACTGTATTTGTCCTTGCATGCTCTAAAAACTTTTAAACGTCTAGTTTTTCCACCGCACTTCAAATCTTTGGAACACATTATATATATATATTTACACACTTTTTACACACATATATATATTTATATAGGCATTGTTTTAAAGTGTTGCGTGTAGAGGAATTAATGTACGTCTTGAGCAATTTTTAAGTACGCCTAGAGCAATTTTGGTTAAGTTTTTTATCATTTGTTAACTTTTCCATTAGCGGTAAGATAAAAGAAATTAAAAAAAAAAAACACATTAATTTTTGAATAACGATATGTAAAAATATTTGTTACAAAAGTTTGAAAGAAGTTAAAAATAATTGTTGTAATTTTTTATTGCGATATTTCTTACTTTTTTATAGCGATTATATTCAACGTAATTTTACGCTAAATTTTTTATCTAAATAAAAAAAAAAATTCATCGATCCTTAACTACAATTTTCTTGCAAATGTTTTTGATAAAATTTCAGTAAAAAACTCTAAAAAAAACATCTATATTCTTTAATCGCTGATCAAAAAATGTGGCAATTTATGAAATAATAATTTTTTTTTATTTTACCAAAAATTACTTCATTAATTATTACTCTTTGCTTTTCTTATTAGTTACAGGTATATGGATACCTTTATAAATGTTTATAAATGGCACAAGACATGTTAAAATATTTTAACATGTTAGAATATTTCATTTAAGTTGGTATATAGATAAAAATAAATATTGTTCAATAAATAATTTAAATTTGTTCTTAACAAAGAATACCTCATATTTATTCTCCTTTTTTTATTATTATTCTAAATTAAATTGCTTGGTAACGAACAAAAAAGAGTTTTGTAATTATACGTAGAATGAAAACATTTTTAAGTTTGTTTATAAGTTAAGGAACTTAATTTTTAATGAACAAATTTTAACGAATGTTTATTATAAACAGATACGATTCAAATTATTAAATATTATTTTAGTTAAGCATTTTTTTAAAGCACAATTAAAGTATTGCGTAGAAGTATTTAAAAAGTTTTTTGTTGTTTAAAAAGTCTTAATTATGCAAAAAAGTTTGCATAATTAAGACTTTTTTATTTAATTTAATTTTTTTTTTTTAATTTAATAAAATTTAATTGTTAAAAACAATTTTTATCTATATTTTTATCTTTATATCTATATGTGTTTGTAATTTGTTTGAAATGTAAAACATTTTTACGATAACAAAAAACATTAATGAATTAAATTTCTGCAAACGCGCTCTACACAGCTGTTTTAGAGTGAGCTTTACGGCTTCTTGTTTTTTTTTTGAAATTATTGACTTAGGGGGTGTTACTAAAACATTTATAACTTTTGAAATATTAGAGATAATTTTGTTTTGTAAAAGGAATAAAAACAACAATAAAATGTTTTATCATATGCCATTTAATACAATAGTAAAAAAACCTCTTTTAGTTTATAAAAAGCGCAACAAATGATGAACTTGGTTAAATTTTGGTAATTTGTTGTTACTTTTTATCAAAAAAAAATCAGAAAAATATATTTCTGATAGTTATTATCAAATACACTCATTGTTTAACTATTATTAAAATAAAAAAATCTTACTTAATTGTTAAAGGTAAACTGATACAGTCTTTATTAAAGTCTGCAAGCAAACCGCATTATTTGCAAAATTATAAAAAATGTTGTTAAAGGGGGGATTAGCTGTTAAATGAGCACGTTTTTAAAACTAGAAGTTTTTGTTTTAGAAAATAATTCACTAAGTTTATAAATTCAATGCATTATAAAATAAAACCAGATTTCAAATTTGAAATAATTAGTCTTGAAATTTTAAGCTAAAGCCTTTAAAAAACTTGAGCAATTCTTTTCTATGCATACAGTTTTAATAATATGGTGTTAGGTTGTTAATAAATAAAGACTCTAATAAAATAATTCATGGTCAAAACTGAGTTAAAGTTTTTGAATTAATCTCGCTTTTGTTAATTAATCAATCATTTTTCACAAAAAATAAACGTTTCCTTAAATATACAAACAGCTAATTTAAATTGTTTGATAATGTGTTTCTATTCTCATAAAAAACTTTGATTAACCCATTAATAAGCTGATCCATTAATAAGTTCTTTAAGTAGAAAACGATCTTTGAACACCCAGTTGATAATAGGTTTATGCACCATTCTAAAGAAAAAAGCGCCTAATTTTGTTTATTTTATACTTCAAAATTCGTCTCGCTAAGAAAGTTGTTTTAATAAAATTTATTACATATTTGCTTGGGACGTACAGAATTTAAGGTCACGTGATTGTTTTGAAATGTAAACAATATTTTGCGCATTAAACTAGAAAAATTTGTTTCTAAACTAGCCAAGTTTAAAAACATATTTCATAACATAGCTAGAGGTACAGCAAACAATTTTTTGGTTTTTATATGCAGAAAGGGTTGAAATTTCAATAATTTGGTGCGGATTACAAAAATAATATGATTTTCATTATTTAATAATAAAATAAAAAATATAAAGGCATTAAAAAATAGTTAAAAAATAAAAAAATAAGCAATCCGCACCAAAAATTAGGTAGAATAGACATTTATAAATGCTCCAAATTTCAACCATGAGGCGTGTAGCTATGTTATGAAATCTTAGTTGACCCAAGACAGGTTTTCCGTAAAAACCACAAAAAACAGAAAAGTGATCTTAAATTGTTAGCAATATTTAAACAATAATATTTTTATTCCGTTTAATGTAAATATTTATTTAAAAAAAAAAGATGGGTCTTTTATATTTTTTTATTTGAAGATGAAAACGCTAATAGGAAAAAAACACTATTATTTTAAAGTTAGTGCATTTTAAAAATTTTTTTGCGGAAATACTTTTTTTTTAATTAAACACAAAAATAACTGTGACGTCAAGCTCGCTTTTATATTGAGTGAAACAGCCGTGTCTAAACTACGTATCAAAAATATGCTAATAGCAGACATTAAACTTTTTTATATTTATATATAACGCAAGTGAAAACGCGAAGCAATATAAATATAAAAAATACTTAAAAACCTAAATTATTCTTTGCTAGTCAAAAAAAATTGCTGTTAAATTATTAACAAGGGTTTTTGTTATCAATATGTTAATATTTTTTGTTTACTCTTTTTAAAAATTTTAAAAAATGAAAATAATTTTTTTTTTAATTCAATAACGATTCAAAAACAATTATTCAAAAACAAATTTCAGAAATAATGAAAAAATATATATATATTTTTACTAAACTATATTGAACTAAAATTAATATTAGAATAACAATTGAAAACATAACAAACTTTTCATAATATAATTACATTTAAAATGTTTATAACTATTTGAGTTAATTGTTAATATATATATATATATATATATATATATATATATATATATATATATATATATATATATATATATATATGAAGGGTCCAGGGGAAAAACGATGAGATTCCAAATTTGCCTGAAAAAATTGTGCGAGTGCCATCTAGTAGCATTTTTTGTCCCCTTTCAGAATATCGTATTGCTAAAGGGAAAAAACAATGGCAATCCTACGAAAAAAGCGTTGCACTTAATATTCGCACACATTTTTATCAGTTGTAAAAGTTTCTTTTACTCCTATCTCAAAATGAGATTTTTGGTTATCTCATCGTTTTTCTCCTGCACCCTTCATATATATATATATATATATATATATATATATATATATATATATATATATATATATATATATATACACACATGGATATTATGTATCTAGGGATGGAATTTTCTAATATATTTAATGCATTATTATGTATTTTCTAATTTTTTAGTTTTTATCAATACATTTAAAAAGCTGTGATCAAACTGTAAAAAAAATAAAGATGATACTTATGATATACTAATGATGATAACCTCCTACAATACGACCCTACCACAGAAATGGCAAGGAATGTTGTATTATATATAACAATTGATTACATTTTATGCAAAAATTATAGGGTGGCCTAAAATATATTTTTTGAATTTGATACCGCACATTCTCTCAACTGGTAAAGTTCAATAAAAAAGTTCATAGTTAAATTTTTTTTTTGCTAACTAATGATGGGAATTGGTCCCCATCATTAGTTTCGAATAGTCAAAGTAGCCCTGCTTAGTAAACCTTTTAGTCTATAATGACATAATTCTGAACTGTATTAAAATGAACTAGTGTCAGTGTTACATGCATCAGTTTTACTTATAAGGGTGAGGACAATTATAAGAATGTAGTGACCCATTCCCAGACCAAGTATAGGAAAGCCTGAACCTAGATCTTCTTTGTAGGCCATTCATGAATGAATGCAAATAGTGGAACCAAGGGTAAAAATCTTTTCTTACTGAAATTTTTTCTTTTTCTGAATTTTAAATCACACAATCTTTTACTTGGTGAGGTTCGATAAAAAAAAAGTATATAAATAAAATTTTTATTTATATAAAAATTTTATTTATGTATTATATTTTATTATAAATATAAATAAATTTTTTTTTGCAAACTAATAATGAAAAATGATCCCAGAAACCCTACATTAAAACCATAAATTGACCAAAATTTGTCTAAAAATGTAATGTAAGCAGATAATATGTATCTAAGGACGCAACTTTTTAATATATTTTATATATTATATTTTCTAATTCTCTTGTATATTTTTTTAACTGTTATATCGTCTAAACATTTAAACAGCTGTGGTCAAACTATCAAAAAATAATTATTATATACATGACATCATCATCAGGATCATGATCATTATGATTATCATGATCATGATCATCATCATCAATACATTTTACTTACTACAACTAAGCTCATCAGAGTTATCTCCACAGTCATCTATCCCATTGCATCTTGAATAAAAAGATACGCAATTACCATTTGTGCAATGAAGTTGATTTGATTGACAAACTTTAGGTTCTATGAACAAACAATAATCATACAAAATTTTTTTTTTTTTTAAATAACAAACTAAAGATTATTAAAAGAAAACTAAAAATTTTTCTAACTTACGAGTAGATGGTGTCTGAGTAGTGAATGAGCATCTTTCAGATGATTCATCAGAACCATCAGAACAATCATTATCTCTATCACAAAGCCAATAGATAGGTATACATCGCTTGTTTGGGCACAAAAAGTGTTTCCCATCTTCGGTGCAGTTATTAGCTACAAATTTTTAAAATGTGTACTTTTTGTGTCTTAAATTTATTTTACATTAAAATCAGTTATAAAGTTTCTTAATTATAAGTATCTATTTACAACCAATGAACATATGACTGAAAAAAATAAACAAAAATGTTTCAAGTAGAAAAGTGAAAGTGACTTGAGTAAATATCAACTTACACAAAAGAAATATTTGGAATAAAAAAAGAGAAGAAAAAAAAGATAAAGCAACAATCGTTCAGAAAAAGAAAGATACACAACAATCAAATAAAGTTTTTTCAATAAAAAAATAACAAAAATTAGATTTATTTAAAAATTTTCAGATATAAAAAAAATATATACTACTGCAAGATTTTTCATCGCTGCCATCAATACAATCATTTTCTCCATCACAACGCCATGAATTTAATAAACAACGCCCATCACACAAAAATCGGTCACCACTGCATTCTACAGTACCTTTTTTTATAAAAAAAAAAAAAAAAAAAAGTGATTAGAAAGTAAAAAAAAAAGATAATTTATTAATGAAAACTAAAAAAAAAGTATATATTCTCCAAACTAATGCATATATCACTTGTTTTAAAAGTGTATATTCTCCTAACTAATGTATTTATCAAATTTTTTAAAAGTATATATTCTATAAACTTATGCATTTATCATTTGTTTTATAATTTCAATTATGCACAGGTTAAATGATTTCCACATGCACAGGTTAAATGATTTCCAATAAGATTTAACTTTGACATAACTGAGAGCTTGAAACAACATTTATGATCCCATTCCTTTTCAGATCTTAACCTGTTTTACAGATAAAAAGCATTTTTTGTTGTTACATTAGCAGCAATTATCCTCCTATTTGTATTCACTGATAAAACTAATGCCTTCATATGAAAGTATTAACTTATATTTGGAATAATAAAGAGCACACTGAACAACTCAATTTACACCGCGCTAAACAACTAACACATTTAAATCCACACCTTTTTAAATAACTAAATTTAGTATGGAGTGCATTTAATTATGTCTTAACGCAACTTATTTTACACACACACACACACACACACACACACACACACACACACACACACACACACACACACACACACACACACACACACACACACATATATATATATATATATATATATATATATATATATATATATATATATATATATATATATATATATATATATATATATATATTACGGCGCTATTATAATGGTTGAAGTTTGGCTGCAAGAGCCAAACTTCAACCATTATAATAGCATCGAGCCAAGTCCAACTATGTTTACAATGCGTTTTTGCACCTTGTCTAAAAGAGAAAAGAGCATCATTAGAAGATTCGCCCCAGATATGGCAACAGTATTCCAAACAAGGACGGATTTGAGATTTATAGAGATAGAGAATAGAATCTGAATTAAGAAAGTGTCTAGCTAAATAAAGAGATACAATCTTAGCAGATGCTAATTTTGCAACGGATTTCATATATAGTTTCCAAGAAAGATCAGAAGTAAGAGTTAATCCTAGAAGATGAAGGGTAGATGACTCATCGAGTACATTACCACTCATAAATATAGGAAGGTCTAAATTATTGCAATAAAGATTGTCTGAAAAAAATTGAGTTTTATCTGAACGAAAGTTCACCAGCCACTGTGAGCTCCATCCTGTAGCAGAAGGGAAATCCTTTTCAAGCTCAAATGCTTCCTCCAAGCAATCAGAGAGTGTTGGCTTTCTATCATGACAAGAATAAATGGTAGTATCATCAGCGAACAAGAAGTAAGAAGAAAGTTTATGGAGAAGACCAGCATGCCAAACTTTATCAAAAGCTTTAGAAATGTCAAGAGCGATGGCCTTAACCTCTCCACCTTTATCTAATGCACAATAAAACCTATGGTTTATTACTGTTAGCAAATCAGCTGTAGAATGAGAAGATCAAAATCCATATTGATGATCAGAAAGTAAGTTATTAGATTCAAGATAAGAGATTAAGTGTTTGTTAATTCAATATTCAAAAACCTCGCTTAAGATAGGAAGAAGACTAATGGGACGGTAGTTAGACAAATCAGATCGCTTTCCAGTATTTTTGAAAATAGCGATAACAGATGCTGCTTTCCAGTAGGCTGGAAAACAAGACTCTGATAAGTACTTTTTGAATAGTTTTGAAAGTATAGACGACAGCTCCGGAGAACACTTCTACAAGACTATAACAGGTATGTTGTCCGGACCACAAGCTGTAGAAGGGTCTAAGCAGGAAATCATTTTAGATACAGAAACTGGAGTGATACAAATGTCAAGCAATGGATCAACCTGTTTGACGGTTAATCAGGTAGAACGCAACTAGTGGAATCAAGAGATGATACTGATGAAAAGTTCTTAGCAAACAATCCAGCTTTGTGTTTAGGTGAGGTGACTGAACTGACTGTGTGTTTAGGTGAAGTCTGAACCATACAAGAGATGTGGAATTACAGATTTACCCCTATTATTGATACTATTAAAGTCACGAGAGCCTAATTTTTGTGATGAAATACGAGATTTACATGACCTGAGAATAGCGGACATTAGACAAAACCTTTTTACAATGGTTTCTGATAGATATTGAAGTAACAATTTGGATTCACAATTGCAGCAGCACAATGTGAGGAAAACCATGAAAAAAAATGATGCTTGACCTGGAATTGTCGAGAGGGAACAAAAGATTCCATGCCAGCCTGAATTCACAAAGTTATGTAAGAAGCACATTTGTCAATAGGAAGACGAAAAATTTCTACCCAAGGGCCATCACAAAGAAAATCACAGAAAGAGTCCCAGTCAGCTTTAAGGTAGTTGTAAGAGGTAGGATGATAGGGGGATTCAGATGATGAAGAAGAATCAGATAATAGTTTTAGAGAGATCAAACTGTGATCAGAAGCATTTAAGGGTGAATGTGGAGAAACTGAGCACTGATATATATCAGTCTTCTCTGTTTGAAATTTACCGCCAACGCACAAAAAAGTGCTGACTGGCAGTAATTGTTTGTCCGGCGGGTTAGATTTTAAAAAAATATTTGTTATTTTTACCTCTTTAATTAGAACTTGATTAAGAAAAAATATTTGTTGCAATTTAAAAACACGCTCTAAATTTTTTGGCGAGCGCCTAAAAAAGTGCCAGTCGTAGTATTAGCATGCCTGTAGGCGAGCGCAAAAATGCAAGAGTGCAAAATTGCTCGTCAAACGGAGAAGACTGATATATATATATATATATATATATATATATATATATATATATATATATATATATATAAGGGTGTTTCAAAAAATTGACTTATTAAAATTTTAACTAAAATTGCTATTTATATGGTGCCCCACCCTTGATATTACTAAAAAAAAATTCTATTACATTTGGACCACTCTATCAGTCCGTGCCATGGGCCCAAAGTTCATTTTTATGTCGTTTTTGATCCTTTTTTTATTTCAAATTGCGGGGACCTTTCAATGAATCAATTTAAAAAAAATCTTTTTTGGCAAATTTATTTTTATTAGAATTAAATAAAAATCCAATGTTAAGCTTCATTTGTTTAAATAATGGGTCAATCAAACAACTACATTTTCCAAAAAAGCCTTTTGGCCTTTTTTCACTCTTATATAAAATCTTTTTCAGAGTCTTTGGTATTTACAGCTGGACTTGAACGTTTAAAGCAGCTATAGTCTCAAAAAAGTTGTTGTCAAGGATGTACCTCTTTAATGTGACCGTAAAAGGTCATAGAAGAAGATTTTGACTACCAGAAAAAGTGCAGGAGACACTGCAAATGATCTTAACATTTCACACAGCTCTGTAATTAGTCATGATAGTAATTCTGACTCAGACTTTGGAGCAGATATAGACAAAGAAGAATCTGGCTCATTGATTCTCCTTCCAAAAGATATTCTACAGAAAACAGCACTTACTGCTATAGGAGAGGGACTGTCAGCTAGACACACTGCAATTGTGTCCAGTATCATTGCAAACTCTAGAGGGTCTGTTTCAAATTTTTTTGTGCCTAGTGCAACAACATTTAGAGCTGTAGAAGAGATTTTGACCAAAGAAGGAGAGAAGATTAGAAAACAAAGTTCTACTCCTGCGCAGTCACCAACATCCTGTATAATTTCTACACTTTTATAGCAAGATTGTTAAAGAATTCACAAATGGGAAAGAATTGCAACATCACAGACTCACTGTATTAATTAGGATAAATGGACAGAGCTACTTGGTATTCCACCTCAAACTTCAAGTACAGAAGAGGAGCAGAAAATAGCGATCATGGAACTTGACCAATTTAAAATTACTGACAAGTTTCACAGATGTGTTTTCGATACTACTAATTCTAACATTAAACTAACTACAGAGGTTGACAGGCTTCTATTTCTATTAGCATGCAGACATCGTGTGTATGAAAGACACATTGTTCACTGTTGGAACATCTATCCGAGCAGTAACACAAATGAACCATACAATCCTTTTTTAAAAAAGCTTAAACTTGTGTGGAACTTTTTAGATCATGATTTTTTGGATCATGATTCTACTGTACTAAACAGAATGAAGCTTGAGGATATTACTGACAACTGGTTGCATGATCAATTCAAGAAAACTTTGGAATTCTCTGAAAACTTTATAAAGATGGAAAAGATGAAGAAGGTTAGTGCTTTAAATTATAAATTAATTTTAATGTTGTTTAAAATAGTTTAAACAGCTATCAAATAAATAAAAGTCCACTCTTCTTCATATTCTGTAACTACAGAGGTTCCTCAAGGTTTAATCCTTGGCCCTATACTCTTTATTTAATCCAAATTTAAATCGAATTAATAATATAGTAATATGTTTTTATGATAAAAATATCAGTAAAAAGTTATAATATAAAAGTTTTTAGTAACAATATCTTTAATGAATTCTTTTACTTTTGATATGCCATTTAGAGACAGGAATGTTGACTTAAAGGAATAGAAAGAATTTAGACATTGTGTTGGATTTTAAAAAAATAACAAATATTTTTTTAAAATCTAACACAAAACCATAAAAGCAAAAATGTGGTTTTAAAAGAGAAAGATTTATTCAATGAAAAATAAAAAAACTCATCATCTTGAAATATAAAAACAAGTTTTAAAAAGTAGACAAGAAGATGTTGGAAACTTATTGAATATAATTATAAAGGGAATATAATTTGTAAAGAGACCACTCCGGTCCCTTTACAAAAAGGCTCAACTAGAATTAAACGAACGTTAATATGACCAAAATAATCAATTCAGTTAATAGTCTGATAATACATCTATCAAATTCAAATGAAAACAGAAAACTTAAAAACCATAGGTCACTGTGTTTAAACATGATTTTCTCAGAAACTAGATCCCGCAATGTGGTTGCTTTTCTACCGCGAGGTCACATATGACACTCTTAAAAAAATTCTGTTCAAAGTGTTAAGATTTTCTCAATGATCAGAAAGAATTGCATGTTCAAATTTTTTTGTAATTCACCTCCCCAAGGCCGAGAACTACAGATGAGGAGGCTACTTGTGGTTATAACCCTCTCTCAACTCTATAACTCCAAAACACGAACCTTGATGAACAAGGCCACTGCGCGGAGAAACAAGTTGAGCGCGGTACTACCAGGGACGTGGTGGGAATCGAACTCGGAACCTCTCGCTTATAAAGTAACCTCTCGCTTATAAAGTCAGACTTTTTGTCAGTCGATGTATGTACTGACAAAACTAATTAGAGCATGATATTATTAAAAATTACTATTTTAAAAAGAATATTTTTTTAAACAATTTTTTTTTGCAACTTACTTGAAAAAGTAAATGTTTATACTATTTAAAAATATTATATAAAACACTTTTTAATAAATTTAATAAAATTTGTTCATTTATTAAACAATCATTAGTAGTAATTTGTTACTTAATTTAAAAACGTTTTGCATAACTTTAAAAGTTTAAAAAGATAAGCTTTAATAACGTTTATTTCATATGTAATTAAAAACGTAACCAAAAGTTTCGCTTCGAGTTTATGTTTTTATTTTTATTATAGTACTTATATGATTTCTTTTTTGTTACAAATTTGTTTTTCGTTTCTTTTTTCATTAGGAATTTTATTTTCAACTATCTTCCTAGTTTCTTAGCTTAATGTTTCTACATTCAGAGTATTTCTGAAATTTTTAAATCATCAAAACATATAAACAATCATGGTCAAGCTGTCAAATAAATTCATTTGTATGGTCCGCAATAGCGCTCGATTGCACGCCATTCCTGTCCAAGCCTGATATATATATATATATATATATATATATATATATATATATATATATATATATATATATATATATATACACACATATATATATGTGTATATATATATATATATATATATATATATATATATATATATATATATACACACACACACACACACATATATATATATATATACATATATATATATACACATATATGTATATATATATATATATGTGTATATATATATATATACACATACATACATATATATATAACAGCTATTTTACATTAATATACACATAAACATATAAAAGTAAATTAAAGAGTAAGTAGTTTTGCTGAAAATTTTACTACAGATAGATTTATCTAAATAAATAAATTAAATTTTACCACAGATAGATTTATCTTCATCTGATCCATCAGAGCAATCATTATCTTTATCACATTTCCAACTTATTGGAATGCAGTTTCCATTTTTACATTTAAACTGATTATCTGTACAAGTTGTTCCTAAACAAATAATTTTTTTTTAAAAATTATTACATTTTTTTAAAATTTTTACAAATTTTAAAAAAAGAAAAAAATGTTTCAAAACTGATTATACAGGTTCAAAATAAAATCATTATCTGAGAATTATCTGAGAATTTTTTTTAAGCACCAAAAATTTGAATAGGTTTTGGGCCACATATTGACAGATAACAGACTTGATATAAATATCCTAATGGACTATAACATACAAAGCTCATAAACCTAAAACTTAAACACATTTTTAAATATTTTTTGTATTTTTACTAAGGTTCATTTTCGAAAAAAAACAATTTTCAAAAATTTTCAATTAAAACAGGCTGTGGAGTCAGAGATTCACAATATCTTTTGAGGAGTCGGAGTTGCTTAACAAAATTGAGACTCCAACTCCAATAGAAAACCTCGGCATTGCACATGCATGTACAAAATATTTAACCTTCAAAGAAATTTTCATATATTTGGCAAAAAAAATTTGAGGGGGTTACAAATTTAATATGGTCATAATTTTTGAATGTTGCGAGAAAATACTATGAAATTTCGTTCAATACTATAAAAAATCCATCCATAAAAAATCATGTATTTTAAAACAAGAAAACAAGAAAATTGGAAACATGTTAAAAATATATGGAAAGTTAGATATATATGAAAAATAATGTAGGCAGTTTTTATTAATAAAAAACTTGCAAAATAAAATACATATGAAACTTATAGGAAACCCACAAAAAAAAAAATTTACTGACTATTGAACCAATCTAAAAAAAGGTCTCAATTTACAGACTGATTTATTGAATAAGAGTATGTCACTGTCCTACCTTCCTCACACATATACTCTTTGCGCCGGCCTTGACTAGCCATCAATATTCTTTTGTAAAGTGAAATTCATTTTGGTTCAAAATTAAATAATTAGAAATTGTTTTAAATTTACCCAAACAAAAAAAGAATTTTGAAAAGTTTTTTTTAATCAAAGACTCAACTTTTGTAAAAGTAAACAACCCTAATTTTTACTACATATATAACTTAGCAAATAATTTTGTTTTCTTTTTTTAATTTTGTTTTTTCATATTTATACTTATTTTATTATATTCATTTAATCTATTTTCATTTACTTGAAAGAAATATTAAGTAAAACAAATTTACTAATGTGTTATTGTATTATAGTAGTATTATTGCTAGTAAGTGTGGTCATTATTGCTAATTAGTGTGGTCATTAAAAACTATGATATTAACTAGAGAAAATGTCCTTTGTCAATAATTCCCACTTGAAAGATTCAATAGAATCCAACTTATATATAAGAGAGTAGAAAATTTGATTTGCCTTTGTTTCTTAAATTAAAATATGTAAGAAATAAAGTATGAAAAAAAAAATTATAACATTATTAAGCTTTAAAGATTGCTAAAATGCACATAAATTAAAAAACAAATACACATAAACTATAAAATACACATTAATTAAAAAATAAATACACATAAATTATAAAATACACATTATTAAAAAATAAATATATATATGGGAAAAGAGAACCTAGCTTTTTAGATATGCCATAATAGTATTTTTAGAATAGAAAAAGAGATAACATGACATAGTAAAACATTTTGAAAAAATTACTGCACACAACATAAAGTTATTTTATATATATATATATCGTCAATTTTTTTTACTTAGACCTGTTAAAAAAAAATACCAATAACAAACAATGGCTTTTAACTCCTTTTAGGTTAGTAGAAAAATGAGACCAAAATACACATGCAGCTGTAAACTACATATTATCAACATTGTTTCTATTTTAAGTGTTTAGCTATGATGCTTAATATTATAAAAAAAATATAACAAAATATTATAGAAAAGTCTTTTTTTTTAATTTAAAAAGGTTTAGCTCTATTTTGAAATACTAATTTTCTTCAATAATGAATACTCACTCAACACACAAGTTCTGTATTATTTGTTTAATAAAACATTAATTAAATATATAAACCAACATACTTGCTTTGCATTCTCCATTTTCATAGATCTCAGAACCAGGACATGTGCAATTATCATTTCCATTGTCAATGAGATTACCAGGACAGGTACATCGATAGAATGGATAAATACCAATAGGTAAACAAAAGAATTTACAAGTGGTATGATCACATGGGCTAGTATCTATAAAAAAAAGCAAAATTACAATTTAAAAATACTCATAGATAGACATGGCCTTTCATAGATAGACATGGCCATTTATAGATAGACATGGCTGTTCATAGATGGACATTGTTGTTCATACATGGCCATGAAAATTCAAGTAAGCATTCAGCATAGCAACATACAAACGTTCAAAATTTGAACTTTTATGTCTGTTACAAGATACTAGATACATATTTCATATAATACAAATACATATAGGCAACCATTAAGATACCTACATATTATTAACATATGTAATATATGTACCTATATATTATTAATATATGTAATATATGTACCTATATATTATTGATATATGTACCTATATATTATTAATAGATGTAATATATGTACCTATATATTATTAATATATATTATTAATTATAATATTATTAATTATATGCGGTAGTGGTGTACTGGTAGAGTGCTCGCTTCATAAACGAGTGGTTCCGAGTTTGATTCCCACCATGTCCCTGGTAGTACCGCGCTCAACAAAATAAGTAGCCTCCTCGTCTGTAGTGGCCTTCTCGGCCTTGAGGAGGTGAATTAAAAAAAAAAAAATGTACTTATATATTATTAATATATGTAATATATGTACCTATATATTATTAATATGTAAACTGTTAAAATACATACAACTATTACAATGCAAAAGTTAATTTGCGTATTATGTTTGTATGTACGGTATGGTTCATATCAAAAAAACTAAAAAAGAAAAACTGACCAAAGTCACTCAGATTGGTATTGCCAATTCTAAAATATATTAGGGTTTACATAACTTTGCTGATCCTGCAGGAGGTTAAAGCCTAAATTTCTACAACCATGTCTTCTAAGAAATAGCTTAAAAGTCTGTATATGAAAAATATAATGTAATAAAAGTATTACCCTTGGTTTGTTTTTCTGGCCAGAAAGCTTTCACATCCATTCCATTAAAAACCGATTGGATAATAATTTCTGGATTTGCAGAATTTTTTTTATCTATTTTTAAAATAGAGCGTTTAACCCAGTCATCCCAAAAAACGTAATTTTTAAAAATTGTGATTGAATAAGGATGTAAAACTTCTGTTGTTATAACCTAAAGTAAAAACTTATTTCATTTAATGTATTTAATAATATCTAATATCATATAATAACTAAACTTTAATAAACTTACAAGTAAAAAACATTTTTTTTTTTTTTAAATATTATAAAAAGATGTGGGACAACCAATTCATTAACTATAGTATGAGGAAACTCTCAGTAGTGTAACGTTAGGTCATTGTACATAAAGATTGCTTGTAATGTTAGGTTATTGCATGTAACATTAGGTTATTTGCATGTAACATTAGGTTATTGCATGTAACAATAAGTTATTGCATGTAACATTAGGTTATTGCATGTAACAATAGGTTATTACATGTAACATTAGGTTATTGCATGTAACATTAGGTTATTGCATGTAACATTAGGTTATTGCATGTAACATTAGGTTATTTTACATATAGATTGCTATTTTTTTTGTTTTTGTTTTGTTTTGCAGTTATTTACACCCTCCATCATTCAATAACTTATTTATATCTTTCTGTTGTTTTTAATCACAACTATGTGGGATTGTGAATTCTTCAAAACAATATATAAACAAATTATCTTTTAAAAATTGTTTTAGCAAGAATTATTTTTATAACTGTTTATCTCAAGGTTAAACAAGTAGTTTTTATTTTTATATAAAAAAATTAAAAAAAAAAAAACAATAATAAAATTAAACATTATTAGTGATATTTTGGATTGTCATCTAGTAGACTTCATTTTTCTACATTTAGTAAAAATATGCACTGAATCATTAGTTGCTCAGTACGGCAATGAATACAATCTTACAGCACTGGGTGTGACACTATGGTAAGCCACGCATAAATTATTCTTAGGCTAGCTGGATAATAAAGTAAAAAGTCTAAATGTGGTATGTACTCGTGATATCTTCTTGGCTAATAAATATTCTATACTTTTCTCACAATTTTTGATGACAACAAACAAACAAAAAAATGAAATGTAAAAAACAACATAATACTGAATTTGAACGACAGTTAAGACACATTTTCACTTAAGAACCTGTTTTAAGTATATATTTTAATTTTTTTGTTTACTTTTTCAATTTTAACATTTAATGTTGAATGTTTAAATTTAACCCTATTTTTAACATAAAAGACAGTAAACCTGTGTATATGAGACTTATTGTGTGGGTGACTTTTTTCAAAAGGTCTAAGAAACTATCAATTTTAGTTACTTTCAAACTTAGGTTTATCTATTTTTTCTACAGTTTGGAGATACCAAAATGTTTTAACAGCATACTGAAATAGGGAACTGCTGGGGGCTTCACTACATACATTGACTAACTATATAGGGAGAAGATAGATACAAGGAATGGAGAAAATAGAATACAAGGAATGTATTCTGAAAGGAGAAATAAATACAAGGAATGTTGCTACATCAACTAAAAGAATGGGCAGCAATTATATATTTCATCATTCTTTCTCTTTTTTTTCTTTTTCCGAAAAAAAAAAAAAGCCATATAAGAAAAAGTAAGCAAAAAAAAAAAAGGCAAATATATATATATCTATATACGCTATATTAGATAGAGATATATATATATATATATATATATATATATATATATATATATATATATATATATATATATATATATATATATCTAAATACGCTATAGTAGATAGAGAGATATATATTTATATACACTTTACTAGATCGAGAAATATATATATATATATATAAGCTATATTAGATAGAGAGAGATATCTATATACTCTATACTTGATATATATATATATATATACATATATGTATATATATATACATATATATAATCTATATATGCTATATTAGAAAGAGATAGATATATATCTATATACGCTATAGTAGAGAGAGAGAAAAAGAGAGAAAGAAAAAGAGACAGGCAGAGAGAAAGAGAGCAAGAATATATATATATATATATATATATATATATATATATATATATATATATATATATATATATATATATATTATAGTTTTAAGCTCATATTTTTATTTTTAATATCCCAAAATTTAAAATAAAATTCAAAAATAAGGATTCAATGAGTAGTCAAGGAAGAAACTAAAAACTTGATTGGGTAACTGTTATCTTCTGTTACAAATGGAGGCCCCTTAAAAATTTGTGATTAGACCTATTTTGTTCATAACAATTATACTTATAAATGTCTATGTTGATAACTGGAAATTAATCTTAAAGTTGTACATAGATGACACAAAATTATTTGTTAGAATTGATGAAAATAGTATACTATGCAATACAACCGAATTTCAATCAGATATAGACAAAATCACTATTTTGAGTCAATTAGACATCATAATGTCAATGATGTCATTTATACTCAGTATACTTTGATTTACTGATTACACATCAAAATAGCAAATAGTTGTTAATATAGATAAATACAAAACTATGCATATTGACTGTTCAATATGCAGATACAAGATATTATTTAAATATAAACAAAAACTTATTTTGAAAGTAACCTTGGTATTCAAATTAAGTTAAGTTAGTTAATTCTACTCTACAGCAAACCGAATGCTTAATATGCTAAAATATAAATTTTCATATCAAGGTTGTATTCTTTGGACAAACCTATTTACTTCAAATATTAAACCTCTAAATTTTCAATACTTGCATGGAACCTATATTTATAGATTGAAATTAAAGAACTGAAAATAGTTTTAAAAGTTACAAAGATTCTTGATGTAACAAAACATCTTAATTAAGAAGAACAGCGCAATCATTTAGGTTTTTCACTAATTTTAGAAAAACAAAAAGCAACCACATTGAAAATATAAAATTTGAAAACTACATTAAAAGGTTTTAACTATTATTTGCAAAATATTCACAACCAAAAAACTATTAAATCTGATTTTAATTAAATATTTAAAAACAAAAAACAAAATTTTGCAAATTAAATAATTTTATACTTATATATTCTATAAGAATACAATAAATGTTATTTATATTTTATAATAACATTTATTGCTTTCTTATAAAAATCTATTTTGTTTGGCAAAAAAAGTCAATTTGGAAATAAAGTGGAAAATCAAGCAAAAAGAAAACCACAAAGAAATACAATGTATATCATTTACTTTTCGGTTCTTTCCATCTAAGTCAGATGATTCAATCTTATCGGTATTAGCATCAGCCCAATACAATCTGTTTTCATCATAATCAATAGCAAGGCCATTTGGCCATTTAATATCATCTATTATAATTGAGATGGGGTTTGAACCATCCATATTTGCAGATCCAATTTGAGGATTACGCCCCCAATCTGTCCAAAACATTATTCTAAAATATATTTAAAAATATTTCTGAATGTTTTAAAAAAAATTTTTTCTATTAAAAATACTTTTAAATAAATTTACTAAACATATTTTTGTTTGCTATATTAAAATAAAAAATTATATGTTATAATAATATTATTTACAGGGCTGTGGAATCAGAGTCAAAATCAACACTTTTAGCGGAGTCGCTAAACAAAATCGCGATTCTGACTCCAATAGTAAAACTTCTTGATATTGCAAGTGCATGTACAAAATATTCAAGTAATCTTACATTCATAAACCACCAAAGAACTTTTTATAAATTTGGCTAAAAAAAATTTTTTCAATTATCACCTAATGTTTTTCTAAAGAATTCAAAGAATTTTTAAAAAATTTGCTTTGGAATCCGAGTCGTACTTTGAAAATTTCAACAATTGGAGTCAGAGTCTATACTTTTTTTTCACATTCCTGACTACACATCCCTGATTATTTATTTTATATTTAATATATTTTTTATTCACTGTTGAGTTTAGTATATGTAAACAAATGAATTGTGACAAATCAATCTATACTTTTATACTTTTTTGTTATTTTTAGATAAAAATTTTATATTTTAACAAGACACATGTTGATAACAATTTGTGTTCTTTTCAAAATATGAGTTTGTTTGGTTATTTTGTGTTGATCATGGTATTATTTTTTTAGTTTAATGTTATCAGTTTAAAAAATAATTTCTAAAATATATTAAATGAATTTAATGATTGAATTTATAAAATGAGTATTTAAATTAATTATGTTGATAACTTTGATGGTTAATATAATATATAAAATTTTAAATTTGTTAAACTTAAACAATTTTTTTCACAATGAGGTTTTTTGATAAAAGGGTTTTATCAAAAAAAAAGTAAAGTTTCCTTCAGCATTAAAACAATTTATTACTGTAGAATGAGCTCGTAATGTTGTTACCTGTTTGAATTTATTATAAATAGGATTTAGCATGATCTTTCCCTTTATACTTTTGAACTCACGCGATGAGGTAGTCTTAAAACTTAATAATCTGTTAATATCTGCTTAATCAGTAATAAGATCAAAAACTTTGCTTTGTCAGCTTAATTAGTAATAAGATCGACAATTTTTATTTGATAACTTCTGTAGTATGAAACTTAGGTTTTACCATTAAGGAGGATGAATCTTATATTTGAACTAGTAAAGTAACTTTTAAAGCCAGGTAATTTATTTAATTCATGCATTAAAAAAATAACACAATTCAAGTCCTTTGTCAATTGTATTAATCTGTAATTTTTAAATTAGAAGACGATGATGAAAAGGAAATTTTATTTTTTCGTTAAGTTAGTGTTTATCTCAAAAAGCCTTGCATCTCACACAGTCAACTCACACAGCACAGTCAACTCTATGTTACATGTTGAAGAACAAGATCGTTTAATACCTCATTTAAAAAAAATATGCTTTTATATAAAAAACCAGATTGTTTGATCGTTTGTTTTTCCAAGTTGTTAAACATTTATTACGAGGTATGTCATTTATTACGAGGTATGTCAAATATTACAAAAATAAGGTTGTATTTGTAAAGTTTCTAATTTATATATTTTTCTTAATATATATATTTATTTATATTTGTGTGTTATTTGTTATGTGTTTATATGTGTTAAGGTTATATGAATTTATATTTTGTGAGTGTTTCTATGATTGTGATATAATGCTATTTTTTTATAGTTTGTTGTGGTTATTATGTTGTTTGCATGGATTCAAATTGTTGTAACTTGACTTAGTTTATAGCAAGAGTGTTGACCTTGCTAGCCAAGTGGTTTACTTTGCAGTAATGTGACTGGATTTTTTTGATTATATTAATTTATTTATAACTTTAGTTTAAGTTTTCGATAGAAATATGTTATATTTACACATTGCTATATTATTTTTAAACATCTTATTTAAATGACTAGTATTAGAGGTAGAATATACATAGATTATTATATTATGCTCTGTTTTATTTGCTTACACTTTATTTTAAAGTGTAAGCAAATAAAACATAATATAAGTTTAATAAAGAAAACCAAAAGTTCAACTTTTATTATATTAAGCATCATTTTTACACACTCTTTGATGCTTAATTAATAATATTGACGCTATAGACGTTGATGTAAAATGTGTGAGAAAAATTAGGAAATATTCCTTGTTTAAAACATGTTTATATGTGTTATAAAATGAAAACATAAAATTAAGGTGGTAGAGTGCAATTAAAATACAAAATTTTGATCAAAATATGAAAAAATTTTATTTTAGTTTATTTTATTCAAAATTTTATCCTCTTTCTTTTGATGTATGTATGGAACAGAAATTGTTTTTTGAAATGTGATAAAAATCTACATTTGCAATATTTTTTACCTTAGCAACGCCCTAGCAACCACAAACATATCTTCTTTTATTATATATGTTGAACAAAATTGCAAGCTAATTTGTCTTTTTGTTATGTCTATCATGCTTAAAATTGTTTGTTTATCAACTTTGCTTTTAAACAAATTAAAATACGTTATGACGCTATAGACGTGTCGTAGACACGTCTATAGCGTGGATAACGATTAAAAATTGCAACAGTGTGGGGATTAAATTCTTTAGGAAATTTTTTTGTGCATTTCCCATCTTTCATGCATGGAGAATTGGGATTTAAAATTTTATAATAGAAGAATTGTCAATATAAAAGGTAATTAAGTTGATAACCGTTGGGTTGTACCTTATAACCCATGACTTTCTAAAAAATATCAAGCGCACATAAATGTTGAAGCCTGTATGACAATCAAGTCAGTTAAGTATTTATATAATTACATTTACAAAGGGCATGACTGTGCAAATATGGGGATAAATAAGCAAGTTAACCATAATGAAATAAAGTCATTTTTAAATTGTCGCTATGTCTCAGCTCCAGAAGCATTGTGGCGAATATTTGAGTAACCCTTAAGTGATATGTCACATAACATCATTCGACTTCAGGTTCATCTACTAGATAATCAGTTGAAATATTTTGTAAAAGGTGAAGAACAGGCAGCTTTAGACAGCAGTGCAGCACAGCATGACACTCATCTGACTGCATGGTTTAAATTAAATGCTGAAAATGAACAAGCCCGACACACTCCGTATGTTGAAATTTCTTACCACTTTGTTTTTGATAGCAAAAATTGTATATGGAAAGTTAGGCAAAGAGGTAGCAATAAGGTGATTGTAAGGATGTATAAAGTAAGTCCAATAGGTGAAGTATTTTATCTTAAAGTATTACTTTTGCATGTTAGAGGTGCAGTTTCTTTTGAAGATTTGCTTACTGTTAATGGTACAGTTTTTATTAAAATCCGTGAAGCATGTCCTCAATTATGTCGGCTATAAGACGACTGAGAATGAATGGAGCTGAATAGAGAAATACGTTAACTGAGGATGATGCAACGTTAAAATCTTTGGAATGCTTTTAAAGATTTTATAATGGAGGATTACATTCATCATTCCATGCCACCGATAATTGCTGAGCAGGCAGCCCTGCGTCAAATAATGAAAACAAAGAGTCTAGATTGTTTTTTATGGATGGCCCTGCAGATTGTGGTAAAACATTTACATAAAATTATTTAATTGCTGAAACCAGCAGTGAACATATTATAACTGCAACAGCTGAATGGACAGGAATAGCTGCAACTCTTTTAAAAAAAGGATGTATACATTATGGTTTATTCAAACTTCCTGTGCCGATTTTAGAAAATAGCTCAGGCAATGTAACTCCAAATTCTATACACAGACAACTCTTAGGGCAAGTTAGCCTGTATTTACTAGATGAGGCATCCATGATACCCAAACATGCTTTAAATGCCATTGATAAGTTACTTCAAAATGTTTGCAATAACAAGTTTCTTTTCGGTGGTAAAATTATTCTTATGGGACTTTAGGCAAATACTTCCGGTTGTAAAGAGAGGGCAACCAGCAGATATTGTTAAAGCCTGTATAAAATGTTCTCAACACTGGCAATATGTTCAGATGGTTCCTTTTGCGGGTGCATTGAAATTCCTGAGCAGTACTTACTTGGAGCAAATGAATCAATAGTAGACAAGATTTTTGGATTATTCAAAACGTGCCATTTTGATACCCACTAATGTAGATTTTTGATACCCACTAATGTAGATTTTTGATACCCACTAATGTAGATTTTTGACATCCACTAATGTAGATACATTAGCAATAAATAAAGAAGTTTTGGAGTGTTTACCAGGTAATGTTAAAGTTTATTTAAGTGCTGATACTATTGAAACAGATAATCTTAATGAAATCAATAATTTTTCTGTTGAGTTTTTAAACATTCTTACTCCATCGGGAATGCCTGTTCATTGCTCAAGACTAAAAATTGGTGATGTTATGTTACTTCGAAATTTAGATCTTAAAGCTGGACTTTGCAATAGTACCCGATTGATGGTGCATGCTCTACAAAATAATTACATTGATGGGCAAGTTCTAACAGGTGTTTCAGTTGGCAAGAGGGTATTTGTTCCTTGGGTTCAGTTAACACAATCCGATTCAAATAAAGTTGGTATTTATTTCAAAAACCCTTACTTTTCAAATGGTCAACTCTATGTTGCATGTTCAAGAACAAGATCGTTTAATACTTTATTTTTTAAAATTGATGAACATTCACTACAAGGTATGTCATTTAACAAATGCTACAAAAAAAAATGTTGTATTTACCAATGTACTAAATCTATAAAAAATTAATTTTTTGCTATTAAACACTTCATTTTTTATAAATAATTTAACAGTAATTTATAGTTTTGGTAAGTATTTTTATATGTTATTTGATGCGTAAAGTGTGATATTTATTATTTGTTTATATACAGTATCGGACAAAAAAAGTGCAACCAAATAATGCTAATTTAGTTTCTTTATATAAAAGTGCTGCATTTTTTCAATTTAGAGAAATAACTATGTAACTGAGACAACGTTATTCAAGTTTTATTCACAAAGTTCATTATTTGTACACAAAAATTAATAAATCAATCAAAAGTATTAAAAAAAGTTGATTTCCTTCTGGACAAAACAAATGCAACTCCACAAAATGTTCACCAAGCTGTATTTCGCTATCAATAATTTGTGGCGAATCCTTTGTTGTCAATCACAGCCTTGCATCTTTGAGGCATAGATTCGATCAGGTGATCAATGAAAGTTTGTGGAATCGCTGCCCAGGCCTTTTGGATTTGTTCAAACAGTTGATCCTTAATACGAACACCTTCACGATTAATTCTGCGGTTGACGAAATCCCACAGGTTTTCGATAGGTTGAGATCCGGAGATTGAGGCGGCCAATCCATCACCGATAGGTGGTTGTCTTGAAACCACTGCTTGACTACTTTTGCAGTGTGTTTCGGATTGTTGTCTTGCTGAAAAACCCATTTTATTGGCATATTTCATTCAGCATGAGGTAACATAACATCTTTCAGGATATTTTTATACATGAAACGGTCCATTATTCCATCGATTGTATTGTATTGTATTGTAATGTATTGGACCTTGACCAATTGTATTGTAATGTATTGGACTTAGACCAAATGATTTTAATGTTTTGGACCTAGACTGTTAGCAGAAAAACACCCCCAGACCATTACATTGCCTCCACCATGCTTATGGCAGTAACGTAAATTGAGGCATATACTGACTGAATTACGGTTTACATGTCTCTTATATAGTAAAATGAACCTGTGTGAACCTGTTCTGGAAGATTCTAGATGCTTCTTTTTGATGCTTCTGGAAGCGTCTGGATGCTTCTGAATGTTTCTGGATACTTCTGGATACCTCCAGATGCTTCTTATGGAAACTTCTGCATGCTTCTGGAAACTTCTGGATACTTCCTTTAATTATTGAAAAACTTCTGTGACGTTGACACGAACCAGACTTAAGAAAATGAAATAAACCAAAAAAGTTGCACTTGTTTTGTCCGCTGTAAAATGGCACTTGTCAACGAAATTCTGCCTGTGTGCTGTCACCTGTCAGCTGATTGCTCATGTCATGGCATGCTTACTCCAGGCTCCTGAACTGTTTGCTGTGGTAGTATAGTTTGTTTTGTTTTTAAGACATGTAATATTGGGAACACTTTTTAGCATTGTTCGATGTTGGTTGCAAATGTTTTGTCCAATACTGTATATGTTAAGGTTCTATTTTGTATATATTTTTTAAGTATTTATGTGTAACTAATGTGTAAATGGCTGTTATATATGAAGTGTATTTTGTGTTATAATGTTTTCTGTTTATAGTTTGTGAGTTGTTATTATGTTGTTTTCATGGTTTCAAAGTGGTGTGACTTGGCTTTGTTTATGGCAAGAGTGTTGTCCTACCTAGCCAAGCGGTGTATTTTGAATAATGTGACTTGGCTTTGTTTATTGCAAAAGTATTGTCCTTGCTAGCCAAGCGGTGTACTTTGAATAATGTGACTTGGTTTTGTTTATAACAAGAGTGTTGTCTTTGCTAGCCTAACGGTTTACTGATATAAAACACATAATAAAATCTTTTTTTAATCACAAAATGTGTACTTACAAGTATATTATGCTGTTAGTAAAAAAAGTATTTATAATAAAATCTGGATAACTCAATAACCCTTAAATAAATCAAAGTAATTTTAAAATTCCAGTTGAGCCTTTGTTAATGGATACCAATAACTTAAACATTTTTTAATAAGCTAATTTCTTGGTCCCTTGGTGGTTCAGTTATTAATTCTTTACTGTAATATTTTGTGCTATTTGTTATTGATGTTGTTGTTTATGATGTTATTGATGTGATTTTTTGTGTTGATAGACAACTTGGCGTCAGTGTCTATCATTAAAAATGATTATTGGGTTGTTTCATATTGAAACTTTATTTAAATAATTTTATATATGAATAGTAAGTTTCCATTTGCATTAAGTATCGATTTTTGGCACAATCAACAGGTTTAATAACTTAGGCAGTAAAAACAGCTTAATTGAATGAATTTGTTAGGAGTTTTTTTTACAGAAACATTTTTCAAATAGATAAAGCTAACTTATTTAAAACAATAAGTCTTTTTGGCCTGTTTTTATATGTCCAATTTTGCTTTTTAAATAAATCTTGATGAGAGGGTTAAACATTATTATAGCCAAGTATCCAAAAACACCTGAAGAAATATTACACAACTGTCTCTTATATGTTAAAGATCCTTTTATGTATAAAATATTGTAGTATATTAAGTAAATAAGTACAGTTCTAAAGTAACCAAAAGCCAAAAACTTAAAATCAACTAATTTTTTGCTGTTTACTTGAAATATATAGACCCAATTAAGAACAAGTATAAGAAATATTCGGGTGTGGAATAGACTTACCACAACCCGTATCCTACGGGTCATGACAGCTAGTTTATTTAAGTATGGAATTTACATGAATTTAAAGAATGCTTTTTTATATCCTTTAAAGTTAAATTTTAAAAAGTTAAATAAAGTTCCATATTGCAATTGAAATTAATTTTACGCTGTGTTAAAATCTTTTAAACAATATATTCTTATTCTTTTTTTTTAATTTTGTTTAGTGATCAAAAAAATGGCATGATCTCTTTGCTCTGGTAAAAAAATAAAAAAATATTACAATTTTATAAATTTTTCTAAAAAAATCATATTTTTAATTCATTTTTTTGTTTTGTTTTTGTTTAATCTAATTCATTCCTGACAAGGCTGCAAGCAAACACTGTTAAGTTAGCAGTTGCTAACAAAGAATAAAGTTAAAGAGAAAACAGTAATAAAGAGTAATAAAGAAGTATGAGTCAAGAAAACATGGTAGGAAAGACTTTTGAAGGATTGAAATGTGGGAAAAAAACTATATGAATAAACAGAGCATGCTGGGATACAGTAAAAGGGTGAATGAAAAGTCACAATAAAAAGAAGCAATCTTTTCAGATTCTAACATTGCAATCGATCCATGATTTCTATGAGTAGTGTTTGATAGTACAAATGGGTTGCTTAGGAATTAATTTAGGAATGTTGACAGCATTGTGACATGTGTGAGTTTTTTCGGAGTTAAAGTTCACAAGCCAATGCAAGCCCCAATCTGTTATAGAAGTGAGATCAAAATCAAGATCAATATATATATATATATATATATATATATATATATATATATATATATATATATATATATATATATATATATATATATATATATATATATATATATATATAACCCTGTATATTTTAATAGCATCTTAATAAAATACAAAACAATATGGATATAGATTGTTGTATTTTACACATATTTACGTTTACATAAGGTTGTGTTAAATTTACAAATTTGGGGTTGTTTGGGTTTTGGCTATTTGTAGTGAGTACTTTTTTACTGCAGTATGGAATAGGCGTAAGTCGCGGGGTAAGGCATAAGTGGCAATGATTCAACGTTTGTCTGACGGGATAAACTAGTTATAAATGCTGATTCTCATCGAAACGCTAGTAATAATAGACGCGACTCTGAGGAGATGTTTATTACTTAATCACTACACAAATTATGTTTACAATTAGAATTAATGTTTTTTTTCCATTATTAAATGCCTTTCATTGTTGTTATCATATTTTTTATTTTGTGATCGGTTTTTTGTTTTATAAGTTTTTGTCTGGTGATGCATATCTTCGTTCATATTGGTGTTAATAAAACAATTTTTTTTAAATTTATTTTTATTGTTATTATTGTTGTGGGTGTATAGCCTGTCTTATTTATTTTTAAATATTCCTCTATTAATCTTTATTTTTGTCTTGACAACTGTCAAAATATGCTTTGTCTAATAAATAATTCTCCTTTATTCTAATGCACTTCATTTCTTCCCTCAGGCGTTCACTGCTCGTGTGTGACCATTCGGTGAATTTTATATGCCAAAGTTTTTAAATAATTAATCTTACCCTTTTTTAGGATGCAACATCAAAGCCCTTGGTTTATCTAAAACAGCATTATTAACAAGAATTTTTTTATGTTTTCCTTGTAAGTTGATTATTCCTATTTCTGCAAACCCTGCATCACAATAATAAAGATTTCCATTCATCCAATCATATGAAAGCGCTTCAATATGAACACGAGAGTTATTCAACTGTAGAAGTGTAGAGACATTGCCTAAAGAATATATTTACAAATTTTCAGGGCTCTTTTATCATCAAAAATTTTTAAAAAACAAAATTTAAATTTAATACAAATAATATTAACCACAAAACTGTATAATTCAAATTACAGTAATATAAACCATAAAACTGTGTGATTCAATTAAAAATTATATTAAGAAGCTTAATGATAAATTAAAGCTTGATTTTACATATCAGTAAAATTTGCATATGATATTTGCTGATTTATTTTACATATCAGTAAAACTAGCATATGATATTTGCTGATTTATTTTACATATCAGTAAAATTTGCATATGATATTTGCTGATTTATTTTACATATCAGTAAAATTTGCATATGATATTTGCTGATTTATTTTACATATCAGTAAAATTTGCATATGATATTTGCTGATTTATTTTACATATCAGTAAAATTTGCATATGATATTTGCTGATTTATTTTACATATCAGTAAAATTTGCATATGATATTTGCTGATTTATTTTACATATCAGTAAAATTTGCATATGATATTTGCTGATTTATTTTACATACCAGTAAAATTTGCATATCATATTTGCTGATTTATTTTACATATAAGTAAAATTTGCATATGATATTTGCTGATTTATTTTACATATCAGTAAAATTAGCATATGATATTTGCTGATTTATTTTACATACCAGTAAAATTTGCATATGATATTTGCTGATTTATTTTAGCACAGCATTAACATGCAATTAAAAAAATAAAAGCTTTTTGATTTTAAAGAATTTTAGTTTTAAGAACAACAGAAAATATCGCGTTAAATTAACATTTAAATTTATTATCTACATTTTAGAATTAAGAAACAGTTTAATAAATAATTTAAATACTTGTTTTTTTTATAGAACATTGTAATATATCTTGCTTTGATACATTTTCCTTACTAAGCTACCACTTTTTTTTTAAATGTAAAAAAATGTAAAAAAAAAGTATATAAAATATTATGTAAAGTGAACTTAATTAATTTTAACGAAACTTCATAAATACATGTTAAAATAAACTTTTTAGTTTTATGCACATAAATTATGTTCATTCACACATACTAAAGTAAATATCCATACATAAACAAATATACTATAGTAAACACATCTAAATTAGAAGACTCTTACTTAGTCCTTTAATTAATATCTTCTTAAATTATCTTATCTAGATTATCTCTTACTATAAATCTTTCATGGAAACCATAATATCAAATCCTTTGTTACCTGCTAAGGTAACAAAGGATTTTTTGGTTTTCTTTATTGTGCTCATCATTATCCTACTCCATTCTCTACTTTTATCTTACTCAATTTCTTATTCACTTTTTTACAAACACTATCATCATATTTAGGCTGATTCTTCAAATAATGATAAAAAAAACCTTCTTTTAATTAAGGCCTAAAAACAAATTGTAAACATAGTTGGACCTTAGTTGTCAGGCAGTAGCCTCTGTCTCATTTTTGTTGAGTTCCAATTCTTTCTCTTTTCTACAAGTACGACCTTTCTTTCTCTTTTCTACAAGTATGACCATGGTTGCTGTGTAAAAGAGGTATAAAATTTTGCTCATTTTGTCATCTTACGTTCTACCATAAAAAAAAAAAAAATCTGGCATGACTTGTTACTCAGCAAAGTCACATTTTGTTGAATAACAAGTCAACAAGTTTGTTGTAGTTGTTTATATTTTGCCAAACATTAGTGCTTTATAAATCCTTTTCCTTTTTTTATGTTTTCCTGACTCATAATTTACATCTTTTTTAGTCTTCTCTCAACCATTTTCTTACTTTGTAACTCTTGTCTTTACTTTTTAGTAACTCTGAACTTAAGCTTTTAACTTTATAAAATAAACAAACAAAAAAAAATACTTACATTGATATACTAAGAACTTTTTTTTTTTTTTTTTGTTTATTTTTTGTTTTTGTTTATTTTTTTATAACGCTTATAAGCATACCTAGGCTCAGATTTTAGTAAAAAAAAGATTTAAATAAAAATATATGTTCAAACAATGAACAACCATTTAAATGGTTTACCAAAATTTATAATTAATTGACAATCAAAAAAGAAAAAACTTATACAGGTTTATGTTTTGCAACGTAATATAAATTAATGAAGTCATTATGTAGTAAAGCATAAACCTCAATATAAAAAAGAATGTAAATGAAGATCCTGATTGTAATGAAACTAGTGACTAGAACTAGTTACTAGTTTCATTACAATCAAACTAGAGCATTATTGAATATGAAAAAGATTTTGTAGATTTTGTTCCAGAGAATATTGAAAAATCGGAAAAAAAAATACAAGGACAAAATTACTAATATCTAATAATGACATTATTGTCAGCACTAATATAGAAACTGATAACAGCGGTGTTATAGTAACTGATATTGAGTCAAAAATTGAAATTGAACGCTCTTCTTATTTTTCAACAGAAGCTTTGCAACCTCTGCAGAAATGTCTTTAAACTCATGGTGGAAGAAATACACATACTGTGGGTACAAAAGGAAGTTGCTCTGTTCGATTTGTTCCTGACCAACCCATGATCCAAAACAATAGAGGTACATCCATTTGTGCATCTAATTGTAAGAAACAGGTTCCTGTTTCTACTTGTGGTGATGGGCTTGTTTGTGGTAACCATGTTAGTCCTCAAGATGGCCAAGCGCGTCAACAAGTTAGTTTTGCCATCTAGCCTGAATTAAAACTGACCTGAGAACATGTTGAAGTTGATGACAAAGAAAATGAAGATAAAGTATTTGAGGTTTAAATGTTAGAGTAAAATTAGAAAACACTCTTGACTTTTTTGATCTCTACCTGACAAATACTATTCTTGAATCAATTGTAAGTGAAACTAATTGTTATGCAAGAGATTTTTTGAAAGGTAATCCAAACAAAGCAACAAATTCTTATACAAAGAATTGGAATTCTATATCAGTTGTTGAGTTAAAAATCTTTTCAGGACTAGTGATATTGATGGGTATTGTTAACAAGCCTAATTTAAATATGTACTGGTTGACAGATTATGTTTGATTGGACACCGATATTCTCCAAAACTATGAATTGAGACTGATATAAATTCTCAAATTCCTTCTTTTTAACAACAACAATGACCCTAACAATTATATAAGGTTAAACCTTTCTTGAACATGGTCAGAGATCGTTGTAGAAAGGTGAATAGTCCAGGACAGTATTTGAGTGTCGACGAGTCCCTGGTGCTATTCGAAGGTAGACTCCATTTTCACTAGTACATAAAAACCAAAAGAGTACGGTTTGGTATCAAGTTATATGAATTAACAACATCAGATGGCATTACCCTAACTTTTTTAGTATACTGTGGTCCTGGGATGTATGAAGATAACACTCTTGAGGGAATGCCATCTAGTGAACGCTATTACGACAACTATTACACAAGACCCTACCTTGCTACTTATCTTTTGTTTAAAAAGACTTATCTTTGTGGAACTATCCGTGTTAACCGTAAGTTCTACTGCAAGGATATTGTAAATGAAAAACTTGAAAAAAGAACCAATTGTTTTTACAAATCCATATACATTGAGAACAAAATGATAGCCTGCAAATATTGTGCTGCGAAAGATAAATCTGGTAAAAAACAACAAGTTGTATATATGTGAAACAAAAAGTTGTATAATTCAGTGATGGTTAATTCTGGAAAGTCTGACAGAGACGGTGATGTAATCATGAAGCCATCGGCAATAAAGGTCTATAAGTTGCACATGGTTGCAGTTGGTGTTGACTGCGTAGATCAGCAGCTCCATGGAATCCAAGCCCTTCGCAAAACATGTAAGTGATACAAGAAAGTAGTGTTTAGATTAATTTTGTAGTGCTTGTTTAATTCACATAAAATTTCCATTCAGTATACTGGCATCTCTTTATCGTACTTAGATTTTTTAGTCAGCAACATCAAGTTAGTTAGTAAAAAGACTGATAAAAGATATTCCCTAAAAAAAGTTTATATTTGTTGATTTTATCCATCACAACCAGGACTGCACTCTGATAATTGTTTTGAAATTTATCATACAAAAAAAGACTATTATTTGCAGTGAAAATCTTTAATGTTTTTAAAATAATGCTTAAAAAATTATTTTGAGAAAATTAGTTGTTTTATTATATCTTTAGAATATTTTGACTTTTGGTTCTTTATACTAAAACTTGAATATCTTTGCACAAAGTCATTAAATTAGTCTAATTATTTTTGTTTGATCACAAATGTTTGTATTTATATTTTGCAATTAAAAAACTGGAAGTCAAAATAAATGATTTCTATACTTTTGGCAATGTTACAGTTTTGGTCATGTGACCTAAGGAAAAAATAAGTTTTTAAATTTTTTTCTTAAATATGATGGCCTATTATATAACAAAAAAAAAAAGTTCATTTGACCAATTTTGACTAGTACTTCATATTTTAAAGTCATTTAACTAATCATAGGTCAAAACTTGATATTTTAAGTTCAGACATATAGCCAATTTTTGTTCAGTCCGGAAAGGGTTAAGGTATATGATTGTATCAATTGAGGTGTATAATTAGGTGTATATGATTGTATCAATTGAGGTGTATAATGTATTTAGGTGCATAATTGTATACATGGAGATATATGATTATATATATTGAGTTGCATGATTGTATGTATTTCGGTGCACATAATTTAATGCATTTGAGTGATCATTCAAGAATCTGAACAGATTCCAATAATCATCATATTTGTATATTTGGTATGCCAACAATTGACCTGTAGGAAATGAATCGAAAAATTTGAAGCAGATGTTTTGTATGTGGTAAAAGAACAGCACCAAGAGAAATAATTTTGCATTAGATGCTATTGATGCTTTTTTGTAGTTGATGATATTGTTGCTGTTGATGTTGCTCATCTTTCTATTGTTGCTGTTAATGTTATCATTATATGTGGCATAAAAATTACTCTTTACTTTTCAAATAGGTAAACAGTTTTGCAACTGCTATTGCTTGTTGCAAAACTGAAACAAGTTGAGAGTGGTACTACCAGGGCCGTGGTGGGGATTAAACTTGGAACTTCTCTCTTATAAAGCGAGCACTCTACCACTACTGCATTTAAATAATATCCAAATGTGGTAACTTGGTTCTTCTAGTAAAATTGCTTTCATTTCCCAATGTGATTCTTGAAATTGTACAGATTTTTTTTCCATATGTGGCTGTTTTTATCAGTGATAAAATAACATTATTTAAATTAACTAAAAAAAATCATCTGGATTTTAGTTGATTTGAGTATTGATCGGAGGTCACAACAAACATTGAGTTCAACAAACTTATGTTGGTGGTGACATTTTTTTTAAATGAACAAACTACTAATGGTGTTGAATTTTTTTTAAAAATAAACAAACTAATGTTAATGGTGACATTTTTTTTAAATGAACAAACTAATGTTGGTAGTGACATTATTTTAATGAACAAATTAATGATGGTGACATTTTTTTTTTTAAAAAAAAACATTTATTTTTAATTAAAATAAAACATTATTTATCTTCAACCAATTTATCATCAACATGATACAGGAAATTTTGTTTTCAAAATTTCAACAAGTAATAACCCATATGTACGTGTATGTGATTTGTGAGTGCGTGTATATATATTCATTATAATTATTTAACACTAACGCACCTGTATTCATGTTTAAAGCAACAATTCTATCAAGAGTGATATCGGCATAAAAAAGAATATTTGACTGATAATCAACCTCCAATGATACAACATTTTGCATTTCATTTAAATCAAACTCAATTGACTCTTTTGTAAGGAAATCATAGCGGTAAATACGATTTCTTGTTGTGTAAAACAAATATTCAGTTACTCCTAAATTACAACAATTTTAAAATTAAAATGAACAAAAAAGCAAAAAATTGTTTAACGATTAAAAAAAAATATTTACTTTTTATTAAATTATTAAATAATTATTAATATAAGTATTAAAAAGTATATAAAAATATTTACTTTTTATAGGACATGCATAAAGTTTAGGTCTGTATTGATCTTCAACACCACCAATACACTCATCACCAGGAACTTTGCGATAACTAAAAGATTCAACAAAAGTACAAACAAAATTACAAAAAAAGTACAAACACAATTAAAAAAAAAGTTCAAAGTTACAACTAAAGTACTAACAAAAGAAAAAACATAAGTACTGACTAATGTACAAAGAAGAGTACTCATAAAAATATAGAAATGTTATAACTTTACAAAATTAAAATGTTTCAATACTTAATTAGGTTCTTTTTTTAATTAGGTAAACAATTATTGAGTTTTGTAATATATATATATATATATATATATATATATATATATATATATATATATATATATATATATATATATATATATATATATATATATATATATTTACATTATATATATATATAAATATATATATATATATAAATATATATATATATATATATATATATATATATATATATATATATATATATATATATATATATATATATATATATATATATATATATATATATATATATATATATATACTTATATTATAAAGTAGATAAAAATAAAATTAATACCCAGACGAAAAATTATAGAACTTTCCTGGCTGACACCAGGATGGAGTTCCTTGATTAGAAAAATCTCCATCAGGTACACAGATCTCATTCCATCCTCTCCATTCTAGTTTGAACCCAAAATCACTATGGAAAAAAAAAAGCCAAAATCAAACAAAAACTAAATTTAAAAGGATCAAAAGTGAGAACATTTTATTTACCAGTCAAAGTCATCTCTTGTACAAATACACGAATCAGAAGATATTATGCGATCATAGTTATGCCCATTATAACACCTTGAGTTAGGATCACGACGCTCATATAATTGTTTTTTACCAAGTAGACAGTGTTCAGTATTATTACGTAAGTCACTCGCCTCCCAAATTTTATAGTCACTTTTCTTACATTCATCACCTGCATAATAATAAAACAAAAAAAGTGCAATCTTATCCAATAAATAAAATTAATTACACTGAAAAAAATATAAATGTAAAACTTAAATTAATCTATAATCTTTTAGCATATAGAATATGACAGAATGGTCTCACATAAACAGTAAATGGCTGAGGCAAAATAGAAAATATAAACATTTAAGACATGTTGTTTATAGAAGCTTATAAAAATTTCCTACTGTCATGTACAACCTGCCACAAACACACTGCCACTGCTCCGGTAAATAAATGTACTTATTAAAAATAGATAACATATTGGAAGTTGGAATTAACATATAGTAAATAAATGACATATTGGAAAATGTTATTATTAATGTTTTTGTTTTTAATGTAATTTTGTATTGTTATAATGATATAATGCAATGAGTAGTTTAAGTGTATATCACTAATGAGTATAAAAACAAATATTGGGTGTTCCAATGATAGCTTTTGAACTACAAAAGCATAGGCAAATTTATAAATGATAATAAACCCTTTTTTAAAAAATAATAAAATCTATTTTATAAGTTGATTACTGTGATGGTGAAATCACAATAAAAAAATGATACTGTAATTGATTGCAGCGTTTTATTGTTCACGGTTATTTAATGGATCCACTGGCAATCAAACAACTTGGTGATAGCAAAAACAGAATACGTACTGTTGACACCTGCCACAATGCACCATCTTAGTATAAATGAAGCTAATTCTAAGTAACTTATTTGAATGTATAGATTGCTAGGTTTGTCGAACACGGATAGTTTCTTTAAATTACACAAAAATAATTTTTTGTTTGTAATTGTCTTATGTCTTTATAAAGTTGAAAACAATTTAAAGTGGTTGCTTGTTAGTGGTTTTTCAGCCTTGTTGGACTTTACTTTTTATTCTTAAGCGCTCCAAAGGCTTTAATTTGTCTAGTTTTTTTTCCTCAAACATCAGTTCATAAAATTTGCCTCACTTCATCTTGTTTTCATGGTTCATAAAATTTGCAATATTTTAGGTCAACTCTTAATTGTTATCTTGCTTTATAAATTTTATCTTTTCTCTTCCAGTAATTTCCATTCCTAATAGTAGTTGCTTGCAGCCTATTTGGAAGTGAAGATGTTAAATGAATAAATTTATGAAAAAAAAATATTTCAAATTCTGCATCAAAAAAGAATTTTTAACGTATACTTTCATATTTTTTTATATTATTTTGTTATATTATTATATTGTTTTATTATAATTTCTTCAAACAATTTTATATCTTACAGACATGAATTAACAACATTTTTAAATATTGCGCCTGCATATGAAGTTTGCTATCAAATTGGTACTTTACAAATTATTTTGGAAGTAATCTAAATGTTCTTGAAACACTTTCTCATTGCACATATAAAATATACATTGACTATCAAGCCAACATAAAAAATATTGTACTAACAGATAATCTAAAATACTGATAAGTTTAAGGTAAGAAGCCAAGATAAACTTTAATTGATTAAGATGAAGGAAAAGTGCTTTCATATTGTAATGATTTTTCTAATAACAATCTTTAGAGATTCCTCTATTAATACTAATACATACAGAAGGGTTAACAAAATCCAATATCTTGAAGGAATGCACTCAATTTACTAACATATACTATAAACAATATCTATTTTAAAAAAAAGATTTTACCCACACAATTTGAGAAATCATCATAGTTGATAAATCAAAATGATTCAATTCAATCATCATAGTTTCAATTCAATCATCATAGTTGATAGTTCAAAATGATTACTTAATTGCTTTAAAGGTGATTGGACACTTTAACAGGAATTTGCATTTGCTATTGTTGCAAATTTGTATTTTTTATATTTTAATTTATCAAAAATGGGGGCAAGATTCTTACAATTAATAAAACAATGACATCAAAAAATTTCATGCGCAAGAAACAACTCAGTCTTGTAAGAAAAAACTCAGTCGCACAAGAAACAAAGTAAAACAAGAAACAACTCAGTAGTACAAGAACCAAAGTAAAACAAGAAACAATTCAGTAGTACAAGAAACAAAGTAAAACAAGAAACAACTCAGTCGCACAAGAAACAAAGTAAAACAAGAGACAAAAAAAGAAACAACTCAGTAGTGAAAGAAACAAAGAAAAACTTTTCAAACATACTCCAGAATACACTAATTCTTTTATCAGTTAAACCAATGAACTATTCTTTTACAAAGATAGACTTTTTTTATAAACACAACAGAAATATTTTCTTTGTGGGCTCATTTTAAAACAAAAATTTTCTCTATTAGACTATTTTAATTTTATAAAAATAATGTTAATTCATAAATATATTAAATAATGTTAAGACAAATTACAACTTATTGAGACTAATTTGTCTAAAATTTGTCCTAATATTTTTCAAATTTTCAAATAAAAAAAAAATAACTTTGATATAATGCACACACCAAAAATACCCTTGAATAAAATTTATAATCATTTACCATTTATAATTAGACTTCAAATTTCATAAAAATATTTCTTGGCAATCTGACCATAAATTTATTTTTAAAAAAAGTGGTTTTTAATTATTTTCAGATTCTCATGTCAACCTACTGGAAAGAAATGTTCAAAAAAACCTAAAGCATGGTTCAAAAACCCTAAGTAAAAACGATTTCAACGGAATACCATTTTAAAAAGAGCAATGTAAACCCATACTTTTTGGCCAAAAAAAATTATTATTTATTATCAAATCCTTAAACACAGTATCAAATATTGGATACTATTGACCGTAAAATTTTCTTTTTAAAATTGCATCATTAAATCATAAGTTCTCTATATGTCACTCAATTTAAGAAAGTAGTTCACTCTGTCAAATAAACATCCTCATTAAGCCACTACCAAGTTAAAGTCCCTACTCAGCTCACTTTGGGAAATGTTCTACTTATATTCAATAAAATTATTTTCAATTTAAAAAATTTAAAAACTTTGTCATTTTTTTGGGAAAAACAAAACAAATTACATTTTTATGGTTTCATTTAAGCATTGCAAAAAAAAAAAAAAAAAAAAAAAAAAGGTTGCCTAAAATGTTATTTTCATAAATTGCATCATAAATTGCATCATAAATTGCATCATAAATTGCATCATAAATTGCATCATAAATTGGAGTAATAACAACAAGTTCCCCATTTTTAATTTTTTCCCCATTTTTTCTGTTGGAAAAAGATTACTTTTTGCAATACTTTATGATATAAAATATTATATAAAACCTAATACGAATATAGTATTTATATTAGCTATATACTTAGCTTCTGTATTTTATGGTATTTTCACATGATATTATCTTATATAATAAGTTTATAAAAAATCTTTTTTAGATTATATTTAAATATTAAAATGTTAAATATTTAATTTATTAATATTAAAAATGAATGTAAAATATGAATATGGATGACCAACAAGAAAAAGAACAAAAAAGAAAAAAAAAAAAAAGAAAAAAGAACACATAATATTATAACTAGACATAAAAGTGAAAGTAAGGCAACCAAACGAAATACCTGTTAGTAACTTTCCAACATACAAAGATATTTTTCAATATATCTATAAGGTCGAAAAAAGAAATGATTAAAACTAAAAAAGTTAATTCTTCTGCCATAGTTTTAAAGTGAGTGAAGAAATTTTAAAAATTTGGAAAAACGTGAATCCAAATCGACCACTAATAAAAGAGAAACCTCTAAGAAATAAGGTACAAAGGACACTTTAAAAAGTAATTGCAGCTGAACAATCTAAAGTTTCAAACAAATTTGTGACTAAACTGCCAACAAATTTTCAAGCTGTAAAGTTTGTTGGCAGTTATGTCAAGTTATGACAATGTATTTTATTATACATATTACCCTTTAGAAATGTTCGATGCAAGGGTCGCTTTAACAAGTTAGATTTAATTTTTTTTGTATTGTTGTTATTTTTATATATAGTTTCTACAAGTTATAAAATTAATTTTTTTAATTTAATGTTCCAGTTCTAGAACGAAAGTACTTAAAGGATCAGAAAATCGGCCAGTATCTATTTTCACATCATCAGTAAAACTTATGATGTGAAAATAGATAACAGTGATTATTATAAAAATCAGAATCATGAGTTTTTTGCAAAACCACTGAGTGAAAGAAACTACACAGATTTAACTAACATTGCCAAAGCTGCTATCAGGTTCAAAGTTAGTGATGCTGCAACATCTGTCATAGCAACTGCTACCTTGATAGACTATCAAATTATAACTCAGAATGACAAATCACAAATTATAACTGAAAAAAAAATATTTTACACTAAAAAACAACCACGATTATTAAAAAAATGCAGTTCAGAAGTTTTTCATTTGAAAATCATTGGATAGTAGATAGTAAAAAAGACAAAAATACATTAGCGCATAAATTAGGATATGCTGAAATTAATAGAACAGTAAAGGATGAAAATCACTCAACTTTTACTGTGGAAACCTTTTTTTAAGAAATATATAACTCATATTGAAATAAAAAATGGAACAGGAATTACAATGGCAACTGAGACACTAAAAATACTCCAAAAATACAACAGCATTAGTAGTTTGTAAGCCTTTGTTCTTGATAATACTTCTGCTAATACTTGTGCAGATAATGGCTTAGCTTTGACATTAGAAATGCTTTTAAACCGCAAATCCATTTAATAGGATACATACTTTACCAAAATGAGTAACCACTTCGCCATATCATAGCTGAAGTAGATGGTAAAAGTAACAATCCAAAGAAATATAAGGGTCCTATTGCTCAAAAAGCTTCTGCAGGTGATTTGCATGAATTACCAATAGTTGATTTTGTTTCAATTCATTAAGAGATTGATTCCGATGTAAACTCTAATACTTTATCTGATCATAGTATAAATCAACGTAAACTTTATGAATACTGTATTGGAATATCTAAAGGCTTTATATCCCCAGAATATTCAATGAAAAAACAAGGACCTGTTTACCAAGCCAGATGGTTAACTCAAGCTTTAAGAATAATGATGGTTTATGTGAGAGTGAAGAATCCTACAGAAGAGTTGTGTAAAATTACAAAGTATATAGTCCAAGTATATTGCTCCATGTGTTTTGCCCATAAAAGGTCTGGCCTTTACAAAAATGTTCCTAGACTTCTTCATAAGACAATAGAGCTTGTTCAAAATCAGGCAGACAATATACAACAAATTATTTTTTAAAATCTTCAAGGAAACTCTTATTGCTGTCTTCAAGAAAACCTTTTATATTATGTTGCAAGATGATGAAAAAGATATAAGGGCTAAAGCTATTAAGCAAGTTTTGCACATAAGGCAATCAAAGTAAGTAAATCTTGAAGTCAAACGAAAAATCAATGCAAAATTAATTATGCCTATTAACTATAACGCTGATACATGGTGTAGTTTAGTTGATGTTTCTTTAATTGAGGTCAAACCTCCAACTATTAATTTAATTTCATCATTTGAGTTAGAGAGTGCTTTGTAAACTTCTATTCTTATGGATTTATCCAAAAATTCACAATCAGTGGAAAGGTCCATGATGCTTGTATCAGAGAATAATGTAATAGAGACATAACTTTATCCTAACTAAAAACCAAAGCAGAGCAGAAAATAAATGTAACTCATCTAAAACTGATTTCTTTATACCTTTTTCTTGAGAAAATGTTTTTTTTTTCCTTCAATTAAATTTGGTTCACATACCAAAGTCTGAGGGGATCCTTGACTTGACTACTGTCAAAAATTATTCTTTTAAATGGCAAATCTCTCTCAACCCTTAACTTCCAAATCACCCTTGGGCAGAAAAGTATGTTGAACGTGGTAATAACCAATATTAGCCATAACCAAAATTCGAATGGAAAAAACAGATTTTAAAAAAGTTGAGGGAGGAGGAGGCTACCCCCTCTCCACCCCCTGTTCCTATCCCAGTGTTTAAGATTATGCTTTAAATATTCAAATATTCTAATGGAAAGTATATTTGTATCAAAATTTGTACTAAAGTATATAAATATTGAGAATTCTATATAAATGAATAATTCATGGAAAACAAGAAAATACTTAGAAACTTCAAAACCATTTCCCAAAATTGCCTTTACTCCAATTGGTCTGAAATTTTCAGGATAGTCTTAGATTAATATGTACAACAAATCCCAAAGTAAACCAATATGATTTGAGAAAAAAAGTATATTTTGGTAGTGGCTTAATCCTCATCATTACTACTTTAGCTAGAAATAATATATAAGTTAAGACACCTCACTACTAACAGTAAAAAGGAAGTTCAAACAACTCCAATATTTTAAAGAACAATATAGTAGAATACAAAGTAATATAATAAAAGATAATAATAATAAGTAAATATAATAAAGTAATATAATAAAAAATAATATAGTAAATATAATAAGTAAAATAATGAAATATAAAACAACTAAAACTTGCCACAATTAAAAATATTGGTAAAATAAAAAAAATGAAAATTTAAAAACACAAAAACTAAAAACTATATAAATAAAAATAAAACTTATAAATAAAAAGTATTAAAAATTGAAGTTTTTTTTAAAAATAAATAAATTTAATTAATTAGAGTTTTATTATCATTTATAAAAACCTATTATGGTTATTAAATGAAATAAGTAGGTTATATGACATTTTGACTTGTTTACTGACAGGATATTCTAGATTTTTTGAAACAGCTTCATATTAAGATTAAATAAAAAATAAAAACCTTTGTCAGGAAAGTTTATTCAACTACAAGAAAAATTTTCTCTAAATATCTTTTTAAAAATTATCATAAGTACTTTTAATGTTTTATATAGTACAATACCCAAAACTAATTTCATGTCAACTTGTATAATAATCCATGAATGGCTTTCTGGTAATGATCCAAACAGAGTAAACACTGTTGTTTTTTCTCCAGGTTCTGTGAGTAAACCATAAATTCTTAATGGTGTTTGATAAAAAGTATAAACATTCCATGTGTTCCCTTCATCATAGCTGTATCTATTAGTTTAAAAATTAGTCAAAATAGTAAGCATATAGTTTATAGAAATTTTAAGAGGTAACACACATTTACTTTTGAAAAACTTGATAATATAAAAGTTAAATTACTGAAGAATATTTGTTGTTCCAAACTTTTCAACGCATGCAATCACACCACCATGATCCACAAAAGCATAATAATAATGACCATCAAAAATCTAAAACAAATGAAAAAAATTGTTGTTTATGCTTAATCCTTTAAACTCTGATAAAAACTAATTTATTTTCTTAACTCTGATACAAATTCCTAACTTGTTGTCTGAACTCCTAATTTATTCTCGGAACTCTGATAACAGCTCCTAATTTATTCTCTAAACACTAATATAAACTCCTTGTTTATTATATAAACTCCTAGTTTGTATATATATATATATATATATATATATATATATATATATATATATATATATATATATATATATATATACTCTTGCATGTCTCTTGCGTAGCATCAAAAAATATTTCCCATAAACTGTAGTTTTAAAGAGCGCGTTAATAAACCAGACCAGAAAAAGTTTTCAAAATTAAATTTTTTTTTTTAATTGATAGACTGCCTGGCCAAACCAAACCCTCAGTCGATGTAGCAGCACTCTCTTGCGAGTCAGGCTATTTGTCAGTCGTTGTAGCAGCACTCCCTTGCGAGTCAGGCTATTTGTCAGTCGATGTAGCAGCATTCCCTTGCGAG